GTGCACTGTATGGAAGAATAAGGATTTTCGATGGATCTCCAAAATGCATCACCACCATGGGCCAGGATGGAAATATCGTACTTGGGATTGGCATTGAAGCCAACCGGTTGACTTTGGGATCACTCTGGTGCCTACGGATGTGCTTTGCGCTTCCGTGAAAGTCGAACTGGACCGCCAGATCTAATGCACTTTCCACAGGGAGCTTGGCTCATCTGGAATTTAGAACATCTGGATATGTACACGTTGTAGTCCAGGTCAATGGTTCTCTGGGTATCTCTGTCGAAGTGTGGTACTTTACATGCTGGGATTGTCTACAAGCTGCGTATGCATGAAGGTTTTCTTAACAAAACCAGCGCTGTTTCAGTTGGCTAGGGGTTATTTCCAGATTGCTCTCAGAGGTAGTAGCAGCAGCATCCCCGATGGCATTGAAATAAAACTTCCAGCCATAACAACAGAAGAAGAAGAAGGATTGCCTCTGTGGTCTGCAGTGCATACCTAGATGGCAATAAAGATGGAGAGAGAGAGCCTTGATTAGGGGAAATGGGCAGTTTTATTGAAGTTGGAATTATTTACATTTTTATCGCTGGTCTGCACAGTTGCACACAATCTGGGTTGGGCACCTGGATATCCCAACTAGCAAGTCAGCTCTATTTGCAAACTATTTATTTCTCTAGAACAAAGGTTTTCGTTTCCCTTCTTCTTTTTTTTGTTTTTTTTGTTTTAATGCCTAAAATCAGACACGTCAGTTTTAAAATATGCCCCATTCTGCCAGGGAACATTTCCTGCCAAATTTTATGTTCAGATATAGATTCTGCTAAATGTTGCAAATATTGAGGGTTATAGTTATTTTGTTTAGTTAATTAGTTAATCATCAAGCACCAGTTCTCCGAATTATTTTGATGGGTTTGTTGTGTTCACTCTAACAAAGGAAAGAGGGGAAAAAACCCTTTCCAAATCTAGCTGGGTAATTTGACCTATTTTGATCTATGACTTTTACAGCTGGATAAATATTAGCGTTCTCAGCCAAATATGTGCTTTAAAAAAACAAAACTGTGAATTGAGATTGAACAATTACCCGCAACCCTTAATCTTAGCAATTTTGAAAAGGTAATTTGTTCTCTCTAGGTAGCTTTTCCAGTTGCACTCGGTTGTAAAATGACTCATGCACTTTATCACATTTTAATTACTTTCTGATACTTCGATGGGCAGATTTTTGTCGTTAGCAATGTTTTAAAAAAAGCATATGATATTTTAGCAATATTTTACAAGTACTTCACTAAATTAAACAACAAAAGAAAGACTACCTCTGATATTGTACTTTTAGTGTCTGTGTCTTCAAGAATCTGTCCCAAATAGCCTTTTATTAGTAGAGTCACCTCAGAGAGATAGCAAATGTTCGTTGAGTAACAACAACAAAGAGTTAAGCCCTTTAATGTAATGTTTGTTTATGCTCTGCTGGTGAAAAGAAAAACATTTTTTTTCCTGATAAAGTTCTTTCCAACTTTGCTTTGCAAAGTGAAATTAATCTATTGCTTCCGTAACCCAAGGTAGCATGGCCAGTGGTCCATAATAATGCAAGTTATGGGCAGTGATACCTTAGGTAGGTCCCATGGATGAGAAGGACAAAGGATTGGTTTCCTTACTCAAAGATTTGGTACTTTATGTAGAGCTTTTGTTCACGATTTGATTCATGTACAATTGCACCAACAGGGACATAGTTGGGCAATAAAGTTTGCTGAGTAAAACATACAAGGATTTATTAGAATTTGAACCGGCTGTGAGATGTTTAATCAGCTGTCTCAAGAGAAGGTTGAAGGCTTCCTCAGAATACAGGTAATCCTCGATTTATGACCAGAATTGGGACCAGAATTTCCATTGCTAAGCAAGGCAGTTGTTAAAGGAGTCCTGCCTGATTTTAAGACCTTTTTGCCACAGTTGCTAAGTGAGTGCATCTCCCGTCATTAAGTGTATCCAGCTTCCTCCCATTGTCTTTGCTCATGTGTCACTTGCCAAGTCTCTGAATTTTGATCATACGATGGTGGGGATGCTGGAAAGATCATAAATCAGGGACCGGCTGTATTATCACTTTTTTCAGGGCCATTGTAACTTTGAACAATTGCTAAGAGTTGTGAGTCAAAGATTACTTGTAGGCTTGCAAATTAAATTCTGTATGAACTTTCCAGTAGCAGATGACCATTGCCATAGATTCATCTCAAAGTGGGTGTGCATCCTGAAAGCACAATTATAAATAAATCAGGTCAAACGTCTCCTCCTATTGCAGGAATTATTCAAAGAGGCTGGGTGCCAACTCTTTGCAATTAACAAAATTAAATAATCATAACAGGTTTAAAGTGAATCCTAGATATATATACCTAGGCACCGACACGCCTCAGCTTGAGGATTTCATATACACCATGGGAAGGATTCCATATTGGAAGCAGGAAGTCGGGGAGAACAATGAAATTAAATTGTATTAATAATTCGGCAGCTCCAAATCTGATAGGGTAATTGAACACATTCCATTCAATGCAAATGTGTGACTTTATTAAAAAGGAGAGGTGGCCAGTCTCTGAACTTCAGTTGCAAGATGATGTTTTATGCTCATCCTAAGAACAAATTCTACTAAAATAATCTTTTGTCCTCAGGGTAGAGAGAAATTGCTCCAAGGGAGAAGAATTTTCTTTCTTGCAGAAGAAAAATTGCAAGCTCAAATCTTCCTCCCTTACTAAGGAAGCTGGAAGAAATGTCGAATTGTTACCAAATTGTTCGACAACAATGCTAACTCTTGGGTTGTTTTCCTCCTATATTTAGATTTCACTAATTATAAAACCTTAAGAAGAGGGAAAGGAATGGATTTTTCTTTGACCAGAAAAATGCCAAATCTCAAACCAGGAAATCCGGTCTGGAAAAAAAACAACAGATCAGCTGGGCTATTGTTGACATGTCCGCATTGTTGACATATTCAGCTTATCAAAGCTTCCCCAGCAACGGAGAAGGCACACCTTGAGTTGTGCAATGCCGGGTTACCATTTAAACTTTGCCCTTGAAGTTGTTTTAGAAATTTTAGCTTGGGAAGAGCGAAGACCATATCTGTACTTAAAGATCCAGGTCTCTTTTAAGGTTAAAAAAATACATTCTCCCTTATGAGAATGCAGATGAATGCTCCAATGTAAGGAGACTTACAGATTGTAGCAACAAAAATCAATGTTTTCAAGCATTCTGATTATTGTATTGGTTTTCATGGGTGATTGTCCACCAGATGCATCCTAGGTAGTATCTTTCTTGTCTATTGCCTTATCTTAAAAGCCCATTAGTTAGCAAAATACATAGGGGCTATTTCTTCAAGATCCAAAAGACTTGCTTTAACAATTACCTCACGGATTCAGTTATGCAAGTTCAGAAATACATTTTAAGTATTTGTATCAAAAGTAACTTCAAAAGCATATAACTTATGTACTACACATGAGCTTAAACATTCATCTCAAGTTACACCATTAAAATATTAACTATCCAATCATTAAGTCATGGGGTAAAAAAAGAGAAATAAAGCTGATAAATAAACAAGCATATGCAGTCCAGATTTTTTAAATGGAACTCCCATTGGCAAAATACTGAAAAAGCTGAATATTTAGCCAACACATTTAATGTTCGGGAGCATATCAGTGCAGCAGTTTAACTACTCATTAAAAAAAATGATTCAGTTCTCAAATCAGTTCTGCAACTTCCAAATATAAATCATGAAATTGCATTGTATTATAAGGTTGATGTCATTTCCGAGGAATTTGGAAAAGCCTCATTTTAACGTTGCTAACATTTCTGCAAAAACGTTGCATGCACAATGCTAAATGCTGCCCTGGTCATCCAGGCAAAACTTCTGTTCTATGCACGTGTGCAATTTAAAAAAAAAATAAACTGCATGTTTTTTGTTATATTTTTAAAAGAAGCATCAGCCAGAAAGATTTCATGCAAGCCTGTCAGTGATTCAAGCAGACAATAGGAAGAGAGTGAAAATGAATTCAAGGCGGAAAGATTGATGCAGGGAAATTGCTAATGCAAATTCATCTTCTATTATAGCAGGAATTATCAGCCCCATCCCAGCTGCCGCTTTTCCCATCGTTGGCGCTGGGATTAAATTAGTTTTCTGATTGCAAACTATCCATTTTCCTATGGGTTTTTTATTTTTGTTGTTGTTATTGGCAGAGGAAAAAAGAAAAAAAATGCATTAGATTTTTCTTCCAGTTAGTTTTTCCAAAAATTCATTGTCCAAGGTCAAAGATGTTGTGCATATTTTTTTCAATTTTGGCCCCTTTTTCAAATGGGTCCTTTATTTTTTTTTTACTTCAATTATACAATCATTATTTAGCCGCCTAGAATAGCCCCATGGTCAGATAGACAGCAAATAAACTTAAATTTTTCCCCAAGAAAACATGGTCCTTCTTGGCATCTGTGACTCTGGGCGGCTGAGGATAAAATAAGGACTTCCTTATATTAAACAATAGTGCTGTGAATAACTAATTTATTTATTTATTTACATAATTTTATTTATTATTTTTATTTATTTGTATCCTCCCCTTGAGGGGAGTGGGTGGGCTGCACTACAGCCATCAGCCAAGGGAGAGAGAGAGAGAGAGAGACTGGCTAATAAACCAGGGGACAATCACTACAGCCAGGCAAACAAGCCTAAATAAACAATATATAATATCAATATATATATATATATAAAGTTTATTTTAATCGTGATTAAGTTTAAAACCGCTTCTCCTCAGCTAGCCCTCAGCGCGTTTCCCGCCACTTTTGACTTTTCGGGGAGGGGAGGGGGGGAGCGTGAGAGGCGCGATGACGTCTACGCCCTCCCTCGCTCCCCCCTCCCTCGCTCCCTTTCCTACCTGGTGGCGGGAGGGCGGAGGGAGGGGGCCGGGAAGAGCGGCAGCAGCACTTCCGGTGGAGCGGCGGGAGGGGCGGGAACAGCCACCACTGCCGCTGCCAGCGCAGAGCTGCGGAGGGCGGCGAGCGGAGCGGACGCTTTTTTCTCGTCCTCCTCCTCCTCCTCCTCCTCCTCCTCCTCTTCTTCCTCCTCCTCGGTTCCTCGCCCGACATGGCGGTGGACGCCAGGCGGTTGGAGGCCCTGAGCCTTCACCAGCTCCACGAGCTCCTGGAAGATGAGGAGCAGCTCCAGAACATGGCCCTGGAGATGGAGGAGGTAGGGCGGGCGGGGACCCCCAAGGGAAGCAAGGGAGGGAGGGAGGGGGGTCCTAAGGGGGGGAGAATTGAGGAAAGGGGGACCCCAAGAGGGAAGATTTGGGGCAATGGGAGGCCCCAAAGGGGAGAATTGGGGGTGGGGGCCTCCAAAGGGGAGAATTGGGGTGGGGGCCTCCAAAGGGGAGAATTGGGGGTGGGGGCCTCCAAAGGGGAGAATTGGGGGTGGGAGACCCCAAAGGGGAGAATTGGGGGTGGGGGACCCCGAAGGGGAGGATTTGGGGCAATGGGAGGCCCCAAAGGGGAGAAGGAGCCCCCAAAGGGGAGGATTGGGGGTTGGGGGCCCCCAAAGGGGAGAAATAGGGGTGGGCCCCTCCAAAGAGGAGGATTTGGGGCAATGGGAGGCCCCAAAGGGGAGAATTGGAGGTGGGTCTCAATTTAGGAGTTGGGGAAGGCTCTGAAGGAAGGAGGAGGTTGAAGAGGGGCGACTTGGTTTCCTAGGAAATGATGTTTCAGTGTCTTTTTTTGGGGGGGGGGCTATGACTATGGGTCTGAAACCAGTCAGCCCATTGGCATCCATGGGGTCTCCCAGACCTTGGCTGGCTCTTTTTTTCTTTTTTCTTTTTGCATCTGGCCCAAAATGGGACTTTTGAACAACAGCTGGAGAGTTCTTGGGCATCCAGGCCATTGCTGCCTTTCTGTGGGGGGGGGGGGGGGAAGACCCTTTTCAACAGACTTTAACAGCTGTTTCAGTCTCCTACTGGGAATTATTGGGGGTGGGAGGGGAAGAGGATGCCGAGGTTTCCCTGTAGCCCATTCTCCAAGGCTTCCTAGCAAAACAGGGGTCTCAACTGAGCTTCGGATCTGGAGCCCTTGGATAAGGGTCCCTTTTTCAGGCTTTTGGCTTTGGAAAAGGTGACTCCAGATTCCTAATTTGTGGGGTGGGGGGGAGAATTTTTAACCCTGCATTAACAAGCCAAAACTTGGTTTGGGGTCCCGCAGCTGTATTTCTGCCTTGGGTTCGTTCAAAGAAGAGTTCTTGGAGGCACACAAAAGTTTCACTTGCTTATTTTGTCATTGCTATTCTGCCTAATAATAGCCCGTCTTGCTTTGGGAGGGCTTGCCTTCTTGCTTTGCGCCAGCATTAAGCTGTTTCCCCTTTCTATAAGGAAGTGGTGTGCTCAAAAAGCCAAGGTGTTTGACGTTCTTGGGGGGGGGGGGACGTGAGTTGTGCCCTTGGGGTGGGTGGGTGGAGCTGCAGAGGGAGCCGGAGCCAAGACGCAAGAAAACACAAAGTGGATGTAAATCAACAGGTTGTCTTGTCTTTGGCCATAATAACTTTTGTTGCGATTTGTACGGAAAGAAATCCGTGGCTGTGTGACGGTTAGAGAAATGCGATCGATGGGAAATAAACCATGGTTTGCTTGTCGGTTAGGGTGGAGCTTGCTTTGAAATGCGGGCGAGGAAGGTGGGATGGACATGACCCCTAATTGGAGTGTGGGTTTTTAGGTGTGTCGGTTTACAACCTTGTGGTTATCGTGGGAATAAAGCGGTATTGTGGGAATAGGTGAAGCCGAGGTTGAGAGAGGCGAGGAAGGCTGGCAGCCTCCCACCTTGGCTTTCTAATCACGTAGGAATAAAATGACTTTATTAAACCAAAAGATAAGGCCTGACTTTTAGGTCCCCAACAGTTTAATTGGCATGACTTATTGAGTTGCTTTTGTTTCTGCATTTAGGGTATAATTTCTTGCCCTGTAGACATGAGTCATTTCTGAGAAGAAGACAGGGATCTCCTTTACGCGGTGCTTTTAGGCGTTAAAAGGCATCCTTGGACAGGACAGCCATCTGGTGGCTCAAATCCCAAGGGAATAGCTTGAATTCATCATTAGTTTCATATTGTTTCCATGATAAATGTACTTCATATCCCCTCTGATGACTCCGGAACACTTTCAGTGAAATCAGATCCCAGCTTCTGATCTCCCCATCAGGCTGCCTAACAATGACTAATCCTGATCGTACTCAGGGTGTAAAACTGTACCTAATGGTACAGAGGGTAAAACTGTGGAGTATTCCATGCCCCTTTTGCATAATTTGAACCTGGCTTCCAAGGTTTTCTCTCCGATCAGAACTTTTGCTCCATATTGCCTGCGGGGTAAGCTGCATTCCAGGATAATTCTTGAACGCTATTCCGCTCCCTTCCTTGAGCAAGGAACAACTGAAGCACGAAGAGAAAGGCCTGAGTAGTTCCTCCTCCAATGTGTTACAGAGGAAAAGCAGTTTCTGAATTTAGCAAACGTATGCCTTGCTAATTAGTCATTCCCACACTTGCAAACGTGCGACTTCGCACCTTATCCGTGTTATTGTTGCACTTTTCTTTTAGCGATGTGAGATTTGGGCTGCTTTAATCCGTGAATAATTTTGCATCTGGGAACTCTGTCTAGCTACCAGTCGAAGAAAGGACTTCTGTGTCTTTACAAATCTTTCCTGCTTTAGCTCTATGGCCTTTTGTTGTCTGGAATTCATACAGTGAAGGGTGTGTGTGGGGGGTGTCTTTAGTTCCAAGTCACTCCTTGGTAACCAGCTAGTATAAAATCTAAAAAGCTGCTAGGAACAGCTGAGCTTCAAGTCTGAAAAGGCATTTTGCAAAACTCTAGAAAGACTCCCGTGCAGTGGCTTAAGGTTGTGAAATACTTTCTGATAATGCTTTCCTTGTATTCAAGGCTGCGAGGAAACACTGCAACAGAATGAAACTAATATCCGTTTGTGGTTTGTAATTCAAGCAAAAAATGAAGCTTTTAATAACGGGCAGCCTAGCCTCCTTCGCTCCTTTTACAGCCAGATGTCCTGATTTGATAAAACGAATCCTGTGTTTTGTGGGTGATATACTTATGTGTAGAGGGACATCTGGCACGCTGATAACTTTAAAAAAAACAACAACAGCCTATATGAAATGTCAGTTTTATTGTATCAGTGACCTTCTGACCAGGTTTCCTTTCAAGGAGAGCCATCAGGTGCAGTATTGACACGCAGGCTTCGTGTTATGCTGCAAATAAGCTTTAAGCTCTAACACTTATCCTGCCTTTTTAAATAACCTGAGGATATATAGAAAAGTATATGTAACTAAGTGGGAAATCAACTCTTCTTGACTGGGGTGTACTTTTAAGTTATTTTGCTGTGCCAGCTGGCGTCCAGAGTTACATTTTCAATGTTAATAGTCGCTGTGTGGGAGACCCAGGGGTTAAAGAGGCAGAACTAATAACCTTGAGCATTTTATATCTGTATTTCCCATTGTGCAGCTCAGATCTTGACTGCAATTGGACCAGTGGTGTTTGTTTAACGTAATGCATATGTAAAGCCATTTGGGCAGGGCTGGAGTTAGTCGGAGGAAGGCTTTGGGTTCAGTAAACTCTTACTGTCATTTTTTCCCCTTCTCTTCAATTGGCAGAGTTACTACTTTCTTAAGTAATTGGCCTGTAATTAGAGACGAGAGTCTGGAATAAATTAATCATTGGGCTCCCCTGCGTTAATTTTTCATGCTTTCAATCACTTGCTTTCAACATTTTTAAGACTCTAGGATTACAAAGGAGAGGATTTGCTTACCCCTAGAAAGTAATTTTCCTCCACTCGAGGAAAGTGAGGAAAATCTCTTGCCGTGAAAACTCACTTTTAACACGCTTTTGCTCTCTGTCCCTGAAATGTTATTGCTTTTTTTTGGATGGGTGGGGTTTGCACCTGATAAACTTTTTTTGTTGGTGGGGGTTTTCCTTTCCCCAATACTTAGGAGGGTTTGTTTTTTTGCCATTTAAATCAAGTAAAATGATCTGCCAAAAGAAATCTTTCTCAACCAAAGATCTTAGAAATGCATTTGGGTGCGTTGCCGTGGTATAATATGACAGTATAAATTGTTAGCATTTGCAATATAAGGCTCTCAAAAGCATAACCTGGTCAGTATTACATGAAATCAAGATAGGAGAGGTTTAAAAGGTTCAGGACTAGGCCGGTTGATAGGATTTCATAGACAATCCCTTGTATTCCCACGAAGTTCCTAGAAGAGTAAACAAAGAATCTAATAGATAGAGAGATTTCTTGGCTCCCTTATCCTTTTTTCCAGCCTCTCAGTGAATGTGGTCATGTCCTCTTCTGCCAACATGAAATTAGGTTTTAAGACTACTAATTAACTGTGCCAGTAACTACATGCTGGTTTTCTGTTCTAGCGGTCACTCAATTAAGAAAAACTTGCGGTTTCTTTTTTTTTTTTAACAAATAGCTTACTCGATCATCATGGCCTGATAATGTTTAAATGCACAAAGTGGGGGGAGAAGGGTTCTCAAAGAGAGGAGGGGGAGGAACCAACAAGTGATTGGGAAAGAACACGGATTTGGCTAAACAAAAGGGGTCTTTTCTTTAGAATACAGCGGCACGAGTTCTTATGGAAAATATCCACTGTGGTAATGCAGATCTCTGAAAATCCAGATCAGAGATCGACTACCTCTTTGTGTATGCCACATACACTACACAGTAATAGTTATTTATTAGTTTGCGAAAATATAAGAAACAGTGAAGGGGTTAATGCATTACAATAAGCTAAAATGTAGAGCAGGGGTGCCCAGCCTTGGCAACTTTAAAAACTTGTGGACTTCAACTCCCAGAATTCCCACCTTGGTTTCTCAAAGCTAAGTGCTAATATCAGTGCACATTAGACAGTTTAAAAAAAAAAAACACATTATAATAGATGTACCTGTGAGTGCGATTGTGTCTAATATGAGCTAAATATTAATGGCATTATATACACACACACACACACACACACACACACACACAATGAGTCCTCAGAAAAGAATTGATAATTGAATATAGAGAATAGGTTTACCCATGCCTTTGTTCTTCTAAAATTTTAGCCGAGCAATTTATTAAAGATGGGGTAGCAATCCTGTTGGGAGTTAAGAGTTAAAACTAGTTCATTCCCAGGATTAACAAAAAAGAGGCTGCCTAAATCGGTCCAGGATTGGCCCACTGCCCTCTTTCCCACAATTGACCGACTAAGAGTTTCCACCTAATGGCCAACATCTTTTCAAGTAGCTCTTTCGCCTATTTTTTGACAGCTCTAAACGGTCTCACATGACTCATCGTTATGTGGCTTCTAATATCTTGGGGGCTGGGGCTGGCGTTTGGTATAAAAAGGAAGAAAGTGATTCATTGCGGTACTCGGTGTTCTGTTTCTCGGGTCTGGAGGAGGTGGGGGAAGATGCCAAATACATGGGGAAAACGCGGGGCAGCAGCTGTTCTCTCCTCCCCAACACCCCCCCCCCAGTCGTTATATCGCCTTTATAAAGGAACAGGTTCTTATTTCCCTGCCTTCCCCTCTCGTTCCCACCATTCGTCTTAGATCGTAAACTCTTTTTTTTTTTTTTTAAAGTTCTGTTGCGAGAGTGCACATCATGGTTTGGAAAAGCCTCTTCCATCTCCGGCGTTCTGTGCATGCTATCTTCTCAATAAAGGGGCCTTTATATCAGATCCGTATAATCAAGGAAACCAGAGGGGAACAGTGTCCCGCTGTTCGCTCCTGCTGAATTGACAGTTTCACATCACACAATTTCCCTTTTGATCTACGGGGTCTCATTATGAGGTCTCACACGAGACGGTGCCAAGCCAGCTTGTTCGGCTTCCCCCCCAAAGCCTCCTCTCTTCGCTTTCTCTTCTCCTCCATAAATTAAATGTATAAATCAGGGGGAGGGATGTGGGGGAGGGGAGGGGGAGTGACAGCTTGATTTACATTCTGGCTGTGTTTTCCCGTCTGCTGGTTTCTTTGAGCCAGGCAGGCAATCCGGATCACGTTCCCCCTTTTCCTCCCGCTAATTAATATGAGTACCAGAAAAAGTGGTTCACTGCTGTGCTTGCTCACCAGAGAGAAATTTAGAAATATCCCACCTCTGTCATTAATTTTTCTGCCTAACCGTCTGCTTCTTTTTTTCTCTTGCAGGCCCAAAATGTTCAGCTTAGCAAAGATATGACTCTCGCCAGCAACCACAGTCTAGCAGAAGGAAATCTCTTATACCAGCCAAAATTAGATGCCCTGAAAGCCACATTAACCCAAAAGTATCAAGAGCTGCAGGTTCTCTTCGAAGCGTATCAGATAAAGAAAACCAAGCTAGGTAATATTCAGAAGGAATGACCTCAATCCCCTTTTCCTTTCCATAAGCAGCTTGGAGTAGCCAAGATGGGCTCCAAATCATTAGATAATATAAACAGGTAGCGAAGTATGGGGTTGATTCAGTCATTTAAGGATGTGTACACAGTTAATGAGTTGAGCAGTGGTTCATTAATCTGGAGATATTTAAACTTTTATCTACTCTTTCTATCTAAAGAGGAACCTTTGTCTCCATTAAAATCATTCTTGGTGCCGTGGCTGGCTCTGGCATCAAAATATAAAACATATTTTAATTTCAAACTAAAATAAGCCCTCCCCGAAAATATTTAAACACAGAGCTGGAAATCAGGTAAGACGGCAAGAGGAGCCCCATCTTGCTCCATGCGCTCCAAAATAATAAGATCTCCTCAAAAATAAGACCAAGCGCTTATTTTGGGGTTCAAAAAAATATATGACAAGGTCTTATTTTCAGGGAATCACAGTAGTTTGCCTGTAGAAAATTTAAACTTTTAAGCTACTGGTTGTGAGAATAAATGTTTGGGGAAATGAGGTCTTGATAAGAACAGATACATCCTGCACGCTGGTGGTTCTAGTCCCTGGAGATGGCCGCTCCATTTGGAAGCCTGCCATGTTTCCTTGCCCAGCCCTCAAACGCTCTGTGGAGTATATTGTCTTGTAGTAAAAACAGGGAGCAGGGTGGTAGAAGTTTCCAAGCAGCCGGTATTATTTCAGTACTCATCGCAGACATTAAGGTAGCTTTGGCCTTGCTTCCAACGTGCTTCTCCCTGCATTTTGCAAAAGAGTTTAAATTCTGCTTTGTTCCTATCCTACTTTGGCTCTAATCGATTGATCACAAGCATTCATCTCGGTATATAGGTATGGATATGTGTGTTTCTGCTGTTTTTGTTCCTCTCAGCCTTCTGGTATACCGCCTAGCCCCTTGCAGATGGGGCTGTGTACAAAATATTTGCAAATCAGGGAGTGGACTTTGATGGGAAAAGAGTGAGGCACACCCCAAAGTCCATTAAGGGAGTTTGTGGTTGGGTTAATATTTGAATCAAGACATCCCAACTTTGAGGCTGACTTCCTACCCCTCTATGTAGTGAAGGCATCCCCAGGCTAAATTCCTTGTTATTACATGTAGTTTCCTTTAAAAATGTACAGAACAAAGTGTTCATTTTGCCTGTCTCCAATCTGGTTTACAATCCTAGAATAGTCATCCAAGAATTCATGTTCAGCATTACATAATCATAGAATCCGAACAAAATTAGCCATGGTTGCAAACTCCTGCAGTGTATTGAAACAGAGCTAAAACATTGTGCTTCCAGATTCTCAACTCAAGAGTGAAGGCATCTTTTCCCATAAACATGCATTTGATATGCGTGTTCGCTTGTTATTGGTCCATCCTGTCACCCATCCTATGTGCATTTACTGTTTAAACAGGTTCCAAAAAGCAATATGAAACAAAATATATGCCTTGATAGGACGACTAAAATCCCAATCTCCCAGTTTCTAACCGAGACTTTAACCACTGCACAAAAACTGGTTTTCAGTTTTGTCAGGAATGAAAACTGTGCCAGCACATAATCAGTTGCAAATTCTGAACCGAAATGCATTGCGCTCACATTCATGGCTTCTCATCTGTGGGTTTTTATTTTTAAATTGTGGTAACCGTATATTTATAAACTCTGCTTTAATTCATGGCTGTCCCCAATGTCCCACCCCCACCCCCTCTTCTTGGTTTGCAGACAGACAATCCAATAATGCTTCGCTGGAGACCCTCCTCGCACTTCTTCAGACAGAAGGGGCCAAAATTGAAGAAGACACCGAGGTAAATAGGGAACATCTGCTATTGGGGTTTGCTGGGATAATATTTGGCCTAGAACAGCGGCCTCCAACCTTTTGGCCATCAGGAACCGGTTCTGTGGAAAGAGGTTTGTCCACGGACTGCAGGGGGCGTCATTTCACATGCCGCCTGCATCCCGCGGATGGAGCTTCGCTTGTTTGCACGGCCCAGTTTCTGCCGGTCTACGGACTGCGGGTTGGGGACCCCTGGCCTAGCAAATGTAATACTGATTTACCTGCTTTATACCTATGACCCCAGGAGAGCTTGAATGTATTCATTTATTCCTTCAATTTCTGTAGCCACCCATCTTAATCTAATTGAATTATGTCTTTCCTCTCGTGTGTGGATCCTCACCAACCCACTAGGAGAATGGTCAGGCCGAGCCCGAGGGAGGGAGGGAGGGAGGGAGGGATCAAACACGTCATCAGTCTCGAGTCCCTTCGTGCTCACAAGAGATTTAAGTCCATCCCACCTTGAATTCTTTTGATTCTTGAGCGCTTACTTGCTTTGACCGTTAGTCCTTCAAATTCTTCTTTAAACTTTGCAATAAACCTTTATATTCATTTGAACAGCCTGGACTTCCTGATTTTCCCCCCGTGCATGACATCCTACCCAAGAATACCGCTAAGGTTGCGGCTTTAAAGAAAAAGCTGAACAAAGAAGAAAGTAGAAAATTTTTAATTTTTAACTTGTTAGTCTTAATTGCACTTTTAACTCTTAAATTATGAGATTTGGATTTAATTTCTTTTTAACTTTTTCATTAGATGTTTTTTTACTGTTGTGAGCCACCCTGAGTCCAGCTGGAGATAGGGCGGCATATAAATCTCATTAAATAAATAAATAATAAATAAATAAATTGTCAAAAGGATATCAGACAGAGGAGCTGACAGATATGTGATTTGGAGCTCATGTGATACAGGCAATCCTCCCCTTACAACAGTACGTTTAGTGACTGAAGTTACAGCGGCACTGAAAAAAGTAACTTATGATCATTTTTCATCCTTATGACCCATGTGGCATCCCCATGGTCATGTGATCCAAAAATTCAGATGCTTGGCAATCGGCTTATATTGATGACGATCGCAGTGTTCCCCGGGGTGTGTGTGTGTGTGTCACGCAATCCCCTTTTGCGACCTTCAGACAAGCCAAGTCAATGGGGGATCCAGGTTCACTTAACAACGGAGTTACTAATTTAACCACTGCAGTGATTCACTTAACCAATGTGGCAAGGAAAGTTGTAAGATGGGGCTTAACCAACTTCTCACTTAGCAGCAGCAAATTCCGGGCTCCGTTGTGCTCGTAATTCAAGGACCACCTGTACTCTTTTAAGATTCGTAAGTGGTTCTAGCAGTGAGAGAGAGAGAGAGACAAAAGATGCCGTGAGAAACAGGCTCTGCCTTTCCAGACTGTGTCCCTCCCTCCCTCCCTCACGATTCATTCCCTCTTTCCAACAGAACATGGCCGAGAAGTTTCTAGATGGCGACATCCCTCTGGACACCTTCATTGACGAATATCAGAGTCAGAGGAAATTAGCTCACCTGCGGCGGGTCAAAATAGAAAAACTCCAAGAGGTGGTCCTGAAAGGACCCCGACGGCCCCCGGTCCCCCCTCCGCCGGTGCTTCAGACTTCAGAGGCCAACACGCCTCCTTCGGTTATGCCTCGCCGTAACCCTCCCCCTCCCCCTCCGGTGTCCGTGGTCCCAGCAGGACATTTCCCAACGCCCTTTATGGCTCCCGTGGGCCACAATCCGTATCTATATCCTCCTCTCCCCCCGAGGACGGGGGCTCCGCCACCGCCAGGCCAAGGGCCGTCGCCGGGTTACCCGAACCCGTTTCTAGCTCTGTACCCCTCCACGCCGCCTCAGAGGCCCCCGCCTCGCCTTCCTTCCAACCCCGGTTTTATCATGGAATGAAAACGCCATCACGTCTTGACTCTTCTTGTACACTGGTGCTGACCTTTACGAGATCCTTAAAAGCTGGAAACCCAAGCGAAGTCGTCGGTGGGGGAGAAATCAACGGGGGCTCCGCGCACAAAGGAAACCGTCGACGGATCCTGCAAAGACCACCGGTTTTGATCCTTTTTTAAAAATTTTATTTTTTAATTTAAAGAGAGAATCGGCGTCTCCGTCCAGACCTCCCGACAAAGACGTCAAACCAGTGTAGAATTGGTGAAAATGCTTCCATTTGTAGACTTGCCTTGTTCTTCCGAGGAAGATTCCAGCCATCGTGGCACAAAGGCCACAAATCCCAGGAAATCTTAAGTTTTTTGTTTTTTTATTCCTTAATTTGGGGGGGAGGGGAAAAAAAAAGCAATTCCAGAAAGGAAAACCTCATTCTAAACCCCCGGACGGTAGCTTTCGAATATATACATATATATGTTCTGCGAACAGACTCGGCACCGAAATGGCAATAAAAAAAATGACTCATCGTTGAGGGAACAAACCCCGTTTAGGGACTAGCGAGATGGTGGTTCTGAGTTAGCAAATTTTTGTGTTAGCCGCAGTTGTGGTGGGTGGGTGGGAGTTTGTTTCCCCATTAATATAATCCGATCCATTCGAGCAGCAGGCTGCCAATTTTCAGTGGGCAGCGAAGGGAAAAAAGCAGTTATTTGTACCCGTGAAAACCTCAGGATGTCAAAAACCAGCAAATGGGGATTTAAATCCCTGCTCTTGAGGGTAAATCAGGAATATTCAATCCGTGCCACTGGAGCAAATACTGCCCTTCTGCTTCTCTTCACCCTTCATCCGTTTACAACTTCTGGCTTGCGATGAGGGTGGTGTATCTCTCATATATTTTCCTAACAGGGTTCTAGAAAATCTTGGCTTTTAATGTATCTGTGTCTCGGGGAAACACGTGAACCCAGAAATACTCACGGGTCCAAGCATGACCTAATGCTTGTCTCTTATCTTAGCCGATTAGTTCCTCCAGCTTTATATGCCCCATTCCTTAATCCTAAACCAAAGTTATCCTATACCTGGAAACCTCGTGTCTATTTCAGATTGGAGCAAAAAAATGTCTCTTCCCCCTTCCTTCCTTCCTTCCTTCCTTCCTTCCTTCCTTTTTTCTTCTTCTTACAAAACTTTTGTATGCTTTTCAGAAAATACGCTTTTCTTAAAAAAAAAAAATCAAAGTAAAAGGATTGGTTTTTTTTAAAACCGAAAATTAGATACACGACCCTGTGTGAAAACAATTCACATGTTCAGAAAAACAGGTTGAAAGCATTTCCTAAATCACCGGAGCATCTTAACAGTATCTCTGGGCTGAGTTATACATGAGGCCTGTTTCTTAAATAGGTTGGTGGGGTTTATTTATTTATTTTTTTGTCTCTGTCATCCAACACTTCTCTGAAATCGGTGCTGCCACAATCATGTTTGCAAAGAAATTAAAAAAAAGGGGCTGCTTCGCACTGAAAGGTATTTGAAGGGAGTGATAATGAGGGGTGTGAGAAACACCAGAGTGTGAAGTTGTGAGAACGCTGTATCCATTATCAGATTCGATTCTCTTGCCGGTTTGACTTTCAGCTGATGTGGAATGTCCTTTCATTTATCTTTCTGGAAGAACGCAGAGGCCTTGATGCATCCAATTCCAGCTTCTTCTCTTTTTCTTTCCTCCTGCTTGTTTCGTTCTGTCACTTCTTCGGAGACTCTTAATTCATGTCCCCTTCATGCTGACCCAAGCTAATTTACCATGTTTACTTAACTATATACCCTGGCCTATCGCATCATATCCCTGCTCTTCGGAGTTACTTTTCCTAAGCAATTCCAGAATAACTTTTGGAGCAAAAGGATCTGTTTTTAAGCCATAAGCTTAGGTCGAAAGCTTAAACAAAAAAATTGGGTTATACTCCTTTGGTCGTTAATCAAGCCAATCTACACTTGTAGGTCATCTGTAGAATGCCACTTAGAGGGCAGGATTCCTTCTCTTGGGGGCTAGAACGATCCTTCTGAATTCAAAATTTTGAGAGATGATCATTGCCGAGACCGGTCAATCCAAACCAGCCAGACTTAACCTGCTCTGTGACTTAATTCCACCCCCTGAAGATGTGAGCAGTTATAAAACAAAACGGAACAAATAAGACCAAGAGGAAAGCATTTTTATTCCTTAAAAAGACAGCAGAGGTACGCAAGTATCGCTTGGCATTTTGTACCCATGTGATTCTGTACACCGTACCCCTCGCTCTGTTTCTCTCCGACGCGAACTGAGCTTCCGATACCCCAGCTTGTTAAATGGCTCTGCAAATGGATTCACTCCAGAGAGCCTTGTCCCTTTCTGCACAAAGTTGCTGCTTGCAGGGCAAGCCCTCGGAGGCGCTGGGGTGCCCCAAGAGACATCTAATGATGGAAAAAAAACCCCACTTGCACGATCTGCCCTCCTCCGAGGGAATCATAAACTTCAAGAACCGTTTTCGGGTGCGTCTCAACCAGTCGAGTGCGCTTGAGCTGATGAGTCAATCCATCTGCCGTTTGGGGGCACGGGATGACTTGTGAAACTCTCGGAGTCCTGGCAGTTAAAAGTTGCAAAGATGAGTCTCGATGCCAATTGCATTTGTCTTTCAGGGTGTCACACAATCACGTTACTTTAAAAAAAAAAAAAAAAAGAACAGGGCTTAAGGCACCCATTTTATAGCATTTCTTGGTTGTGACTTCCCACCTCTTCCATTTTTCTTTTTTTTTTAATTGAGGAAAAGTGTGCCTCTCGGAGTCTTTTCTTTGATGTGTCTTTTATTCTTCCAGCATTGCAGATTTGCAACATCATTGGGTGTTTCTCCAATGTTAGGAGAGCGGCTTTAGTTTTTAAGGAAGTTTCTTGTTGGCCAACGTTGCGTAGCTGATGCAGCAAAATACATTTATAGACAACTGGTCAGGTTCCAGGAGTTCTCAGGTACTTAACGTCTCAAGGATCACACACGCTCCATTCCAGATTTTGCACATCAGCAGTGAGAATATCTGAATTCCCCAAGAAAAGGAGAATTGGGCCCATGTATGAATTTTACAGAGCCCTGTCTTGCTCTCTGAAATGACACTGATCATCATGTTCCTGTTAAGACACAGTTTCTTTTCCCCCGTGTACTGATCACTTATTTTCCAAACAATATAATCATTGTGCAGAGACACTTTTCAGTAGAGGCTGCTACAGCTGTGACGCACCTAGATTTTGTACGGTGCGTTGCGCTGGGTGTGAAGGGCTAACCTCTGTGCCTTAGAACCACCGCATAGAGTTTTGTCAGGAAGAAATTCCTTTTAAAAATTCCTTTTACGGTTCCTCTTTTTTCACGTGTCGAGAGTTTGGAAGGAAAAGGGCGACGGTGTCCATTGTCTATGGTAGGAAAGGCAGATCTTGGGTGTTTGCTGAAAGGTTTTGTTTTATCAGGGAAAGAAAAGTTTGGTCTCGTGGCAGGAGTTTTTCCAGCCGGCTGGCAGATCTAGAGGAAAAGCCATGTTAAATCGGAGTTGCAATCTTGTGGCCGTGCAAAACTAAACAACAATAATAATAATTGGAGCTTGGTGGAGATTGAAACTGGCGAAGGTCATTGTTAATTGTAGGTATTCCGGCTTGCATGGAATTAAAGTCAAAGGGCTGGTTGAAAAATATGGTTAGGAGAGGAATGGATCTTCAGCTTTTGCACGGTGATAGACCAGAAAAGGCTACTGAACAGAATCTGCGAGTTTTGGAGGAAAAAAAATGGAAACCTCCAAACCTCAGCTGAGATCCCCTACTCACTAAAGTAGGAGTGATGCAGAGATGGGATGCTACCTCTATTTCTTGCTCCGTAAGTTTACACCAATGGTTAGCCACCTCTTGCAGGTACTCAAGGTGCGATGGACAGAAGAATCAAGCAGAATTTTCTCCAGTGGTCAGTTCGGTTTAGGGAACCGATTAAGTCAGTAGCAGTGGGGTCATAACCTTTCCCTGTAGTACTTCAGCCTTGCCACTTCCAGGACCCTGAGGATGGCTTAAGCTACCTTCAAAGACATTTGTTCTTCACCCAGAATCAGGCACGCTGCTTCCGGAAAGCAAGAGTTTTCAACAGCTTAAAATGCAGAACGATTTCGATTTCCTCTTCGCGCTCAGGGTGGAACGTTTCTCGCTCGCTTTTGATAAAAGAGGGTTTGCAGTAGTTTTGTTTACACGAGACACGTTTTTAAAACGGCCCTTAAATAAAATAAAAAATAATAGCCAACCGCATTTGAAGCATAAGAAGCCATGTTTCCCCCCCAAACGGTGGAAAATAACTGCAATTGTGGAAAATAGCTGCAATTTTATACCGTGGTCTTAATCGCCCTTTTTTTTCTTTCTCTCTCTCTACAAAAGTATGCAACTAGAGAGGGAAATTTGTGACGGTGTGGAATGTCACAGTAAACTGGCCTGACCGGGTTTTTTTTCTTGATTAGCATTTGAATTGTGGAAAAGCCTCTAGCAAATGTTGCTGGTTAGCTTTCATTCTGCCCAGCAGCAGATCTGCAGATCAGTTTACTGTTTATTTTTTTTTTTGGTAGGTATGCAAGTAAGGCCAGTTTTTAAGTCTGAATTAGGTTATTTCTGTCCTAGGAAAGGAGGCGGAAGAGAAAGGTCATTTAAGGCAATTTGATAATCCTGCAGCGGGACAGTTTTCCAGTGCTTTGGGGCCTCAAACCAGTGGTTTAGCATGTTATTCTGGAACAAGCCAGTCCTAAACTACCATGTGATGCCCGTCGTCTTCAAATGTGCCTAAGATGCCGACAGACTTCCTTGCTTTCTGGGGCGACTCCTAATGTATCACACCTGTTCAACTTCGTTGTACAACTTTGATTGTGGTCTCGAGGGAAGAGACCGACAGCTGTTCCTTTTTCTTGTAGAATTTGCTGTTTTATAGAAATAAATTTTTTGGAGTTGCAGTGATTATTCATTAAAAAAGAATGCTAAATTTTTGTACAAACCGTTTGTTGCTGGGTTTTCTTTTTGAATCAGAAACCAGAACATTTCTTATTTTCGAACTCTTGCCGTATCCTGGAAGTCTGCGGGCAAGATTTGACTCCTCCAACTACCCATCTGATTTCAGCCATTACAATGATAATAGTAAAGGTAAGCACTGGCAGCGGACTCAAATCGGAGACTGAATTAATAAATAAAAAACCTTTGTGGCCAGGGAACGCTAGCCAATGCACACACACACACACACAAAATGACACAACCCAGTTTCAGCTAAATCATTTTAATAAGTGAAAATGTTTTCCTTAATCGTAAAAGTTCGGTTAAGAACAGTTCCTGTTTGCATCTCTCTCCTTTGCAAAGAAACCCACCCAATCCTCTTAAATTTCAGCTGCTGAAATAAGTGAGCTGGCTTTTTCTTTTCTTTTTTTTGCACGGATTTCCTAAATGAGAGTTTTAAGGCAGTGCTTCCCAACCTTTTTCCTTCATTACCCCCACCACCACCAACACCCACCCACCCAAAAAAATAAAAAATAAATTCCTTATTGGAAAATCTTATGCCAGCTCGTCCCTTCCTTTAGCGCCATTGTAACTTTGAACGGTTGCTGAGAGATTGGCCGTAGATTCGAGGACAACCTGTGTTGTTATAAAACGGAACAATCTTTTGTCACTTCAACCGATTGGTCATTGCATTGATATTCACCTTGGCAGGAATATTTTGGGAGGCTTTAAATCAATTTAAATCTCCCTGATGTGACAGGGAAGATGTATTTGTTACCCAAAGGGGTAAAAAAAAACAACAATCCTCCTATTTTTGCCTTATTTGGGGGTAATTTCACCCAGGTTTGGAAAGCACTGGTTGAAGGGATTTTGTGAAAAATTACTGAAGGTGTTTATTTTCTCCTCTGTATAAATTCAGTCCTATAAAATCTCCAAAAGGTATTTCATTTCCCACCCCCAGGTAATTTTCTCCTCCCCCTTTTTTTTTATACGCGTCAGATCTCGGCATAAAACACTACGAAGGACAATTTAGACATCCGACAACGACAGTAGCCACAAAAATTCACATTTCTTTTAAAAACATCTTTGTAGAATAATAGATACACCAATATTTACTCGAAATATTTCCCAAATGATTCCTATTGCTTATAAATAGTTATCAGCGAGCTCTTAATTCCCTTTCCCCGTAAGGGTCTGCCTTCTCGTAGACGGTGGGGGCTCCGAATAGGCGCTGGAAGTTGTATCTGTTTAAAACACAGACATTTAAAGGGGCTGGAATTTCAATGTCTCCTGCTGTAGATGGATTTGAAGGGCGCTGACATCTTAATCCTCCACCAAAAATCTATGTTTTGGGGTGCCGGCGAAAAAGCAGCAGATCCAAGGGTTTGAATTCCTCAAGGGTGGGCAGAATTAGAACCTGGACCACCCCAATTTTCCTGGCCCTGGCTTCTACTCTTCTTCCGTTGCAGGTTGGAGTTGCCTTAGAAGTTAACTACATGGGCTTGGTAGACGCCATCCTGTGCCAGCTGAAAAAGAAGGGGGGAAAAAATGGTAGCCAAAAAAAAAAAAAAAAAAGGAGGGGAAAAGCTATATCTTTATAGCTGTTTCTCCCCTAAAGCAGTCATAAGGTAGTCCTCGGCTTACGACGGTTGATTGAGTTTGGCATGAACAGTTCTAAGTCATTCGGACTTTAAATCACGTGACCGGACCCTGAATTTTCAGAATTTTTGTGGCGGTCGTTAAGCGAATCTGTTTGACCTAATGGGTCTTTTTTGTATTGCTGGAAATAAAACGTCAGAAACTGAGACGCTGCAAATGGATAGAAATGTATGCCAGTTGCTAAGCATCCAAAATACGACCTTGTGATTGTGTATCAGTGTGCAGCTGTCCTAACCTGGAAACAGGGTCAAGTAGCTTTTGGGGCAGATCCGTCGTAACTTTGAACGGCTGCTAAATGACCAGTCGTAAGGCGAGAACTACTTGGCATCGTCTGATTTGAGTTTAGTTAACGTGCACACATTTTTTTGCAAAGAACTGTCATTGGGGGCCAAATTCCAGAGAGAAAAGGCCAAGAATCATAGGTGACCTGATAAAAAGTCCTTCCCTTCTGTCCATGCTAAGGGTAGAGGCAAGGGGCCCTTCCCTCTGTGCTCACCTCGGAGTCCGGCTTGCTTTGACCTGGTTTCTGTGCGGGCCTCTTCAAGGATGCTGGCTTACGAGCGATCGTAGGCTTCTTTCCATCCGTGTTCTCCGTGTAAAGACCAGCCAAGGCGTAATGTTGCCTCCTCAATTCTCCGAGACGCAGCCTCTCGTTCTCCAACGTCTTTTCCAGTTCCAGAACCTTCACCTGCAAAAGACAGGAACTTCTTGGTCTGGTGTCCATCACCTGTTCCTCTAAACTAGGAGTGTCCATCCTTGGTGAACTTTAAGACCTGTGGACTTCAATGCCCAGAATTCCCTGGCTGGGGAATTCTGGGAGTTGAAGTCCACAGGTCTTAAAGTTGGCCATGGTTGGACGCCTGTATCTTAGAGAGAACTCCATCATCATTGTGCACATTAATCTTGTGTTAACACAAGAAACCGCAACTGGGTTTTGTTATCAGACATTAGTTTGATGGAGGTCTTCTTGGACCACCACTTTTGCGGGAAAGGGTGCTACGTTCAGAAGTTCTCATCCTCTTCTCTACTCAGAGAACTCAACAGCCACCTCTGCTGTGGCATCACTGCCTTATCCAAACCGTCCTTCTAGGGTTGTCCTCCTTCAAAAATGAAATTAAATCCCAACACTTCCGTTAAGAAATTCCACATCCGTGCGGTACCTACCTGTGTCTCCATCTCCTCTTTCTTGAGTTTGATCAAGGACATCCCGGAGAAGTCCATGGTGTCTGGTCGGAAGAGAAAAAGAGGTTCATTTCAGATGGGATCATGACCAAACTTCTCCAGATGTTCTCTCCCACACAACAGCAACGGAAAGCTTGCCCTGTTCTCCCAATCTTAAAATATTCCACAATTCTTCACTCCCAACTTTGTCTAAATAAAACCTCACCACGGCTTCTCTTCCAACAATATCTCTTTCAGAAGTTCAAGGCCATTTGCTCTACAAAATTGTCGACCAAGCCTGCAAGGATTTCAATTATCTTTTCGTTTCCTGCTTGGCCAGCACACCAAGCCTCACCTTTCTCTTCTACCTGCTCTTGACCGGACTTGGTAGACGCCATGACGTTAGCCGCCATCTCGTTGACCGTACGCGAACATTCCTGGAGTTTGCCGAGGTTCCTGCTATGCTTCTCCGCTTTCACCTGGCATCCAGACAAAAAACAAAAAAACCCCCCAAAACCTCAATAATTTATTTGAAGGACCATCTTCTCCTGCTAACATCTACCTGACCCACCAGATCAAGGAGGCAAGGAATGTTATGGGACCTTCTCTCCTAAGGAGATCCACCTAGTGGCATCAAGTAGGACCTTCTCAGTGGTGGCTCCCTCCCTCTGGGACATCAACCCTGCAGAGATAAGATTTTGAGACTCTTTCGGGAGGTCCTGCTTTTGCCAATGGAACCCCAAAATGGCCTAGAGCCCATCAAATGGCTTATTTGATTAACCGTTGTCACAAGGCAGATAGGGAGTTATCGTTTTTGTATTGTTTCATATTATTTTTTTTATCTTTGTAAGCCCTTCAGAGTCACTGAGAATGAACTGGACAGCCATATAAATTTTCTTCCAGAGTCACTGAGAATGAACTGGACAGCCATATAAATTTTCTTCCATAAATAACTCTCTTTAAATGCTCTTAAAGAGGGACGCGGTGGCTTAGTGGCTAAGACGCTGAGCTTGTCGATCGAAAGGTTGGCAGTTCAGCAGTTCAAATCCCTGGTGCAGTGTAACGGGGTGAGCTACCGTTCCTTGTCCCAGCTTCTGCCAACCTAGCAATTCGAAAGCAGGTAAAAAATGCAAGTAGAAAAATAGGGACCCCCTTTGGTGGGAAGGGAACAGCGTTCTGTGCGCCTTTGGCGTTGAGTCATGCCAGCCACATGATCACGGAGACGTCTTTGGACAGCGCTGGCTTTGAAATGGAAATGAGCACCGCCCCCTAGAGTCGGGAACGACTAGCACATATGTGCGAGGGGAACCTTTACGTTTACCTTAAATGCTTTGGGAGAATAATATCTGTTTTGGATCCCTTCCAAAAAATAGAAAATTTCAAAACAAACAAAAAAATCCAGGGGTTACAGCTGTTTCTCTTTGAGGGCCCTCTACCTTGGAGGCGGCTACGAGCTGAGCTGTGCTCGCTGCAATTTCGTGCGAACAGACGATCAGCTCCTCGTATTTGCCGGTGTGCAAGACGACCTTATCCGCAGATTCTCTAATGCAAAGAAAGAAAAATGCATGATTTTTCTCCAAGCAGGTAAGCTGCATCAGAGGAAAAATAAGACAGGGAGAGGAAGAAAGCTTGAGAGGCCATCCGGATACCTACACGAGCTGAGTTGCTCCCCATCCAACAGCTTTGGATGCCGAGATGAGCCCTTCCGTCCAACAGGAGTTCTTGGCGTAAAATTCCTGGGGTGTTGCTGCCCCCTAGCGTTCAAGAGAAGGAATGTATTTTATCATTGCGTTGTACGGACTCCCGAGAGCAAAAAAAAAATTGGAGAAAAGCATCCACGGTGGAAATTTAGAAGACAAAAAGCTCTAATCTATCTTGAATTTACAAGAGCTACAGGAATGGATTTTCTAGGATCCTAAGAAGGAGGGAAGCATCCTGCTTGAAATGTCACAATTAAACAAATGCAATGTACCGTTTTTCTGAAAATAAGACCCAATTGGAAAATAAATCCTAGCATGATTTTTCAGGATGCTCATAATATAATCCCTACCCCCAAAATAAACCCAAGATTGTCAGCCAGATGGATGCCTATAGTACTGTATCCCCCCCCCCAAAATAAGACCTAACCAGAAAATAAGCCCTAATGCATCTTTTGGAGTAAAAATGAATATATGACCCAGTCTTATTTTCGGGGAAACACGGGAATAAAAAATGAGAGAGAGACACTTAACTCTCCAGCAGCTGATAGGGTCAATCCACACTCTTTCCCCATTATTTATTTTTAATTAAATATTAATTTAAATTATGAAATTTAATATTTAATTTTCTCCATTTTTTTTTTTAAAGTAACGGCAATAAAAAATGTGCACCACCCCAAATGGACTCACCCTTCCGCCTTCCACGATCTCCTTCTGCAGATGTGTGGAGGCCAGAACAAGCTGCCGGATAGCCTGAAAGTAAGAGGAAAAAGCAGGAGAACATCGTTGAACTCTGAGCAATTTCAACTGTATCCCCATCAGCCTTCAATAAAAGGGTTTTCTGTCTATCCACAGATCTGACCGAAAACAGGCGGCAAGGAAATTTCTTGCCAAATGGAATTATTTTTAATGAACGAGCAACTCACCTTCATTAAATCTGTGCAGGAATTCAGGATTCTATGGAGGAAACGAAGGAAGGAAGGAAGGAGGGAGGGAGGGAGAAAGGAAGGAAGGAAGGAGGGGGAGAAAGAGAAAGAAGGAAAGGGAAGGAAGGAAATGTCTCATTAGAATGATGAAGTCCACACATTTGGAACTCAACGTTTTTGTAGATAGTCACAACAACCAAAATCTGACCCCCCTCATTGAAAGAGATTGAACCTTCATCGCTTGAAAAAAATATTAAAGCAACCGCATCTTTGCAAGCTCAAATGAAAATATTTTTCAATCCGTCGGGGTTTTCTCCAAAGCAGCCATTTCTAAACCTTTAGGGATTTTATGACGTGTGCACTTTTAACTCCCAGAATGGAACTCTACGCATCTTCAAATTAAATCACAATGTTTATATGAAGTCACTCATTCAAGCAACAGATGAGATTGGGGGAGGCTTTCGCCTCAAAACCCATCGTCCTGTAAGCAGATGCGTGGATCGGTTGGTTGCCCAACAGGTAGGTTTCGTGGGAATTTGAAACATGAGTTTATAAACATTTTGGAAAATGTATTAAGTACAGAAGTTAGGGTGCTTCTCTCTTAGCAAGAAGCTGCTTTGGGCTCATCTTCTCCAGAAGATTTATCAAGGACTGTCCTGTTCTGGTGACTCCAACATCTGTCTTAACCTGAGACGTTAAGACAGAATCTGGTGGCTTCAGATTCAGCGCGCAACCTCCTGGAAAAACCACACTACAAATTTTTAGTTGTGTTAAATTCATCCCTGCCCCCAGCTTACCTTTCGTTAACTTCTAGTTTCACCCCAGAGCTTTCGACTCTGGCTTGATTCATCATTTCCTGTAGAGAAACGAAAGTAAGAAGGTGGGTTTGGCCAGCCGATAGATCTGAAGTGGCTCATCTCCAGCCAAGAAGGACCAACTTGGATTATTGGGAGGCTGAGATGCTTCTTGACACCACATAATTACGTATGGATGCTTCCTATTGTTTCCACCACCCACAGAACAGGTCAGGCTGTAGGGATGTCACCTTGTGACACTGTGTTCCCACAGCAAACACCAACATTAAACCATGTTAGAGCTTAGTTTGGACAAACCAACATGTCCAACCCCTTTTAAACTCTTTATGTCAAGGACTTATACCGTATTTTTAGGACTATAAAATGCGCCAAGATTTTGAAGAGGTAAACAAGAAAAAAAAAGTTTTTGCCCTCCCCAGACCCCAGGAGCACTCTGCAGGCCTTTCAAATCCTCTGCGCGTCCCATTTTTGTGAAAAACCGGCCAGTTTTTGCGAAAAACGGGGGCATTTTTGCCATCCCCAGCCCCCAGGAGCACTCTGCAGGCCCCATTTTTGCAAAAAACGGGGCTGCTTTTGGCAAAAATGGGACGCACGTAGGGCGGGAAAAATGGCTGCATTCGGTGTATAAGACGCACCAACATTTCCACCCTCTTTTAAAGGGGGGGGGGAAAGTGCGTCTTATATTCCGAAAAGTACAGTACTTTTTTGAAAAACAGTAGACCGGTCACAAGTTAACCCCACCTCTATCCTTCTCACGGCGTCCTCAACGGCTGCAGAAGTGGTGGCCATCTCTTTGTCAACCAAGTCTCCCAGTTCTTCTTCCCGGATGTCCAAACTTTTGGGTCTCAATTCCTAACCCCCCACAAAGAAGGAAAGAAAAGTTGACGGAGGCTTCTCAAAGGAGAACCTTGGCCTAAGAAAGCTTCCAAGAGTTTAGTCAACGGTGTGAAGAGCAAGCAACGAAGCCGCCCGCGCCCCAAGTTCCTCGTGGAGAACTTCTCCTGGTGGGCCTCCGTTCTTTCCTCACCTGTCCAAGCTGGAAGAGCCTCTGCAGAGTTGTCCTCAGGTCTGCTGGATCTGCTTCTCGGAGAGACTGTTTGTCTTTGAGCTTGTTGAGGTAATCCAGGCTGTGTTGCCCACAGTCTCTACAGGATTCTGTCAATTCTGGACCAGGGAAAAAGCAAGATTCGGTTGGTTCTGATCCTGAGGCCATTTCAGGAAGCTTTCAAAACTTGGGATGTTTCCCTAGTCACGGGAAGGCGGTCAACCTTTTTGAAGGATGTTAATTTATGGAGCAATGCCATGATATCAAGAGGGGCTTATAATGGCTTGAACCATCTTTGGAAGATGCTAAGAGAGCTTGGCCCTTGATGATCATTGGGTATTTTACCAGAAAAATGTAATAAAGGGAATACATATTTAATTTGACATGTGTTCACAGCAGCTAGAATTGTGTTTGCAGAACAGTGGGAAAATGAAGAGATGTAATTTTAAAAAAATACTAGAATGTGCAGAAATGGATAGATTAACACTTAAAATTAAGGAGAAGATGGGAGCGGGGAGCCTTTTCCAAGCCCTACTCACTGTCAGCATGATCCGTCGGGGCAAGATGGGAGGTGGCGCTGCCGTTCACGATGGCATCTGCCGTGAGATGGGCAAACTGTGCCAACGCAGCCACCAGTCCAGAGGCATCTGAGACAAAGAGTGAGAACGGAAGGAAACGGTGAGGAAAGCAGAGCGATCCGAAAAGCGTGCTGCGTTCAAGGCAGATGGAGACCAACTTTCTCTGAAGTTGGTCTTTCCTTTTATGGCAGTGTTTGGCACCCTTAGCCACTTTAAGAATGGGTGGACTTCAACTCCCAGAATTCCCAGCCAGCATGGAATTCTGGGACTTTGAAGTCCACCCATCTTAAAAGTGGCTGAGGTTGAGAAAAACGCTGCTTTAACCCAACCGAAACCAAACGACGCTTAAACCGAAAGGTGCACAAATGAAAGCTAAACAGAAAAAGGAACATAAAGCATCATTGGCCATGTTAAAAAAAAACAAAAAACCTTGAGTGTTTGCTGTGCTTCAAACAGCTATACAACCAAACTGTTTTCGGGAAGAAGACAGAATGAAAATCCATTTGGAGAGAGAATTTCGTACCGAATGCCACCGAGAATTCCAGCTTTGTCCCCCTATGAGTGGACCTTCTGGTGACTTCATGTAGGACTTCCTCAGGTGATCTAAACCCATTTTATCTTTAAGTTCTTGGTTCCTTTTATCTAACTCAGAGGTCTTCAAACTTGGCAACTTTAAGACTTGTGGACTTCAACTCCCAGAATTCTTTCATACGTCCAATATTTTTTGCCCATGCTATCGTTGTTTCTTTTAACTTGTTCTTCTTCTTCTAACTTAATACTCAATAAATAGCTGTACAATTTTCTCCTTTACCACTCCCCCATTTGTTCCTGTTAACATCTTATCTAATTCTGTCAATTCCCTATAAAAACCATATTGTTTTGCATCTTTTTCATACCTAGATTGTATTTGCATTGTGTATACCACACCATATCAATCCCCTGCTTTTCCAAATTCCCTGTGCGAGAGACTTCATGGCTGATGGCCTTCAGTTTAGACCTGGTCTGAAACTTTAGCTACACATCATCATGGATTATGTGTGTCCTATTCACTGACTGGCTCCATAGTTTGAGGAATTAGGAAGAAAAACTCCACAAATTTGAGAACCAGCAACCTCTTTCTGCTTGCTTGCGATATCTGGAACACTTCCATCCCAACGCTCAAGGTAAGGGAACGCAGAGGGCAAACCCAAACACGTCTTACCTGCCATGTTGGTGAGATAATGCTTATGTCCGTTCTCCAGGGCATTCACCGATTCCAGAGCTGCCTGGGCGCGGCTGACAAGATAATCTGCGAAGGAAGAAATGAAGGACAAAGAATGCGGTTGGGGAGAAGAAAACCTGTATGTTTCTGGATCTCTGACTCAAAGGTAGCCCGGGGGTTAGATTTGGAAGGAAGGGAGTCATCTTAATCTCTGAATTATTATTTTTTTTTAAAACCCTCAACACTGTCAAACTACTCACTAAGTCTGCATTGCTATTACTATTAATCTCATCGTTCCCACCACCCATCTCCTCCCACTTATGACTGTATGACTGTAACTTTGTTGCTGGTATCCTTATGATTTATATTGATATTGATTGTTTCCTGATTGCTTATTTGTACCCTATGACTATCATTAAGTGTTGTACCTTATGATTCTTGACGAATGTCTTTTTATGTACGCTGAGAGCATATGCACCAAAGACAAATTCCTTGTGTGTCCAATCACACTTGGCCAATAAAGAATTTTCTTTCTTTCTTTCTTTCTTTCTTTCTTTCTTTCTTTCTTTCTTTCTTTCTTTCTTTCTTTCTTTCTTTCTTTCTGTCTTTCTGTCTTTCTGTCTGTCTTTCTGTCTGTCTGTCTGTCTGTCTGTCTGTCAGTCAGTCAGTCATCTATATCTATCTATCTATCCATCCATCCATCCATCCATCTATATCTGTCTGTCTGTCTGTCTGTCTCTCTCTCTCTCTTTATCTATCTCTCATCTCTCATCTCTCTCTCTCTCTCATCTATGTATGTATGTATGTATGTATGTATGTATGTATGTATCTATCTATCTATCTATCTATCTATCTATCTATCTATCTATCTATCTATCTGTCTATCATCTATATCTCTTTCTCATCTATCTCTCTCATCTATTTATCATCTATATCTGTCTGTCTGTGTGTCTGTCATCTCTCTCTCTCTCTCTCTCTCTCTCTCTCTCTCTCTCTCTCTCTCATCTATCTATCTAAAAGCAAGCAAGGATTCAGGAGTCACCTGGAGAACTGGTGCACCGGATATGCAGGGGATCGTCCAACTTGCTCACGGCATCCTGGATGATGTTCTCGGCTTCCTTGATTGTCCCTTGCAAGATTCGGAACTGGTCGTCCAGGAGCTTCTGCTGCAGGTTCTGTTCGTGATTTTTCTGCGGGATGGACGCAAAACATAAGACGAGCAAGTATGTTTACGCGTTACAAGACCACGTCCTTGGATATGAGTCCAAGTAAAACCAGGAGGACAAGCTGGTCCCCTCCTTTTATCCCAATCCTGGGCTGACTCCAACTCCCCCTCGCCTTCCCAGTGATATGGGAAAAGGAAACTGCACCCCCCCCACACAACAACGTTTCTCCTCCGTACTTTTTCCGCCAACTTTTCCTGGAGTTCCTGCACTTCCTTCGCCCTCTTCTCGGCTTCCTGGCTCAACAGGAGCTGCTTCTCTTGAATCAGGCCCTTGGTTGAGATGAGCTCACATTCCTTCTCGCTGACCGATTTCCTCAGAGTCTCCTTTTCGGCTTGAAGGGCATCCAGCTGGCTGTTGAGGTCCGAACCAACCTGCAGATCATGTGGGAAAGAGTTCCACACGCTGGTTCCTTGCTTGAAGAGTTCTCACACCCTCCCTTCCCATTATTTACGTGGAGAAGGCCTTTCCTCTGTTCCATCCTGAGGGCAAACTAACTAGGACCTCACAAATGCAGATTTAAGATCAACTTTTACGGACATGGGCCCCTTGGTCTCCGCAACAGACTCGCCTTTCAACTCACTTCTACGCATTTCAAGATTTTAGCCTAGCTATTCTAGGCCACACCTAGCTCTCGCCTCACAATCAGGAGGCTGTGAGTTCGATCCTAGGTAGAGGCAGATATTTCTCTCTCTCTGGGCACAATGAGAATATATCTGCTAAACAAAACTCTGTACTGGCGACAGGAAAGGTATCCGGCCAGTAAAACACTCTGCTAGCTCCATTCAGTTGCCCAGACTCCACCCCGCAAGGGATTATGGGGGTCGTTAAAAGATGATGATGATTCTAGGCCACATATGTGCACCCGAAGCTAAAAAACTATAAACAAGTGAAGATATTTAAAAAGGTATCTCGAAATTCAGATAGGGCTGGAGAGACAGGATCTTCCAGAGACCATACAATCTCCTCCTTAGGCCAAATACCTGCTTAGAGTGGCTGAGCGACTGCTGAAGCTGAGTCAGTTCTTCTGCTTTGGAGTCCATCGCTCTCTTCATCTGTTCCACCTGAAGCATCTGATCTTCTAACTGCATGAAACCCAAGAGACAGGTGTCAGACTTCGATGTTATCTCAAAATAAATGAATTTCCAAACTGCCAATCTTTAAGGAAATCTTTTCTTTAATTGAGCACAGCCACCGGATCATGACTCGATGCGGACAAGACTGAACTTTTGCCCCCCAATCCCTCCCTTTCCGATCCCCAATTCTCTGCTTCTCATTGGCGATCTTCCAAGTCATTCTCCAGACTTCTTGTCTCATCATTTCCCAGGAATGTCTCCCCCCTCCTCATTTCCACGACAACCCGTCTTCAAAGGGATTTAGCAGGCAAAAGTTCAGAAATTATCTCTCTCCTCTCTATGCCAGCGCTGAGGCGCTGACAACAGGACCTATTACGGGGTTTCCAGGGGAGCCATTTCACCCCTGGGTCAAAGCTATGTTCCGTGACCGGTTTTGCATTCGGACTTTAAAGAGAAGGAACTGCACCCTTGTCCAAAACAGAAGACAGACCGACTTTGACCCAAGGCGTCCCATCCCAAGAGAGGCTCACAGTCAGACCCGCAAGCCATATTTTACATCTAGGCCTTCAGGCCTGCCACATTTACTGCTGTCGGAAATTGGGAGGGGGGATTGTATGGAGCAGGGGAGACAGGTAGTCATAATAACATTCCTTTCTTAGAAAGTCAAGGCCGTCTTGCCCGGCAACTGGGAGGCATCTCCAGTTGGGACGGTGCTTTGATTGGACCATGTGATGGACATGTCGGTGCTGGGACAGGGACTTGGACTTTCCTTTATGGTGGGGAAAACCCGGAAGCTCTGATTCGGGTTTCCCCAGATGTGCCAATATGACATCTCTAATAAAGCATGACTTTGAGGAAATCCAAGCTTCGGAGTTTTCTTTCATTGGGGGCGTTACTTGGAACCCTGACACTCACCTTCATTTCCGACTCTCGTTTGACTTGCTCCATCTGGAAAGCCAGCTGTTCCTTGACCCGGGCGACCTCTTCTTGGCTGTGTTGGGTGACTGTCAGCTGCTTGGCCGTATCTGCGTTCTGGGTGCAGAAAGATTCAGAGTTGAAGGATGGATGGAGAAGAAAAAAGAATTTGGCCAAGCAAGAGACAAATCAGGGTTTCTTCTTACCCTCGATTTATAATATTGTGGGGGAGGAGGGGAGAAGCTCATAAGCAAAAGACAAATCATGGTTTTCTCTTGCTCTTACTTTATAGTCTTGGAAGAAAACTTATCTGATCTTGATTGAAGTAGGGGAGACCTTTAACTATGACCATGGAGGTGTCGTAAAAGCCAATGGGACGAGGAATGGGCACCATTACCTTTCTCAAAAGCTCCGCGTGTGTGTTGATTAACTCGCTGTGCTTCTCCTTCAGCTTGGCATACCGGATTTCGGTGGTGCTGGCTTTTTCTGCCAAAGAGAAGGATATTGCCACATTATTACTTTCACCTCCCTATGAAATCATCATTTGAAGGAACCCCGTTGCTTGCCACCCAGGGTTCTCACTCAAGGCATTTATGACCAGGCTCAAATTATCCTAGTTTGGACACATGATATGAAGGCCCAGATCTCTGGAGAAGGCTCCAATGCTGAGAAAGGTGGAAGAAAAGAGAAGAAGAGGACAACCAGCAGAAGTTGGGCGGATTCCCAGTGATGAAGATGAATCATTGGAAGTCTTGAAGGTTAAGGACAGATCGTCATGGAGAACATCTATGTTGGGGGTTGCTAACAACTGGCATCAACTTGATGGAACATCTCATCCAATCGATCATTGCAATAAGCTAGTGGACATTCTTAAACTTGGGGACATCCATTACCAACCAGCACATGGCAGAAGAACTGAGAATATTTGTGGGCTCGGACATTCTTCAGATTTATTGCTTACCCACCCAAGGTGTTTCTTGGCCATTTTGAACAGAGATAAATTGTCGAACCAAGCCCCGTCTTGCGGGTGGGAGTAAACCACAAACTCTGTAATGCAATGCTGCAAAATTACAGTCATTATTAATGGCCAAGTGAAAGGCCACGCATCTTGTTTATTACACAGCACTGCTTCTGATGCAGATATCGGACAAAAACGTAACCCCTTCCATCAACAGACTGCCAAGATTTCCTAAAATTATCAAGTGTGCCCACGGGGAAGAGAAACCCAGAATTACCAGAGGTATAATTAAAGCATACTAAAAAGCAGAGACATCACCCTGCTAACAAAAGCGCGTATAGTCAATGCCATGGTTTTCCCAGTTGCAATGGATGGCTGTGAAAGTTGGACCATAAGGAAGGCTGAGCGCCAAAGAATGGAGGCCTTTGAACTCTGGTGCTGGAGAAGACTCCTGCGAGTCCCTAGGACTGCAAGGAGATCCAACCGGTCGGTCCTAGAGGAGATCAACCCTGATTGCTCTTTAAAAGGCCAGATCCTGAAGAGGAAACTCAAATCCTTTGGCCACCTAATGAGAAGGAAGGACTCCCTGGAGAAGAGCCTAATGCTGGGAACGATGGAGGGCAAAAGGAGAAGAAGGGGACAATGGCAGAGAACGAGGTGGCTGGATGGAGTCACTGAAGCAGTCGGCGTGAGTTTCAATGGACTCCAGACGATGGTGGTGGACAGAAAGGCCTGGAGGAACGTTGTCCATGGAGTCACAATGGGTCGGACACGACTGCGCGATTAACAACAACAGATAACTTGGGAGGGGCCAGAATTACGTATTCCTTCTCCCCCAAAACAATCACAAACGTAAGTCAAGGAAGTCAAGCCTGCAAAAGGAATATCTGTTGAGGGAAAACGCTTTCTTTTTCTGCTGAATTCGGTTGGAGAAGCCAGATTTTAACTTAAGGAGCAAGACACACCACATAGAGATCCCCCACACCCCACACGCTCCCTGGCTGGCACCCCTGACTTACTCTCCGCTTCCAAGTAGAGTCCTCGATTCTTGTCTCCTTCAAATTTTGCTCTCTGCAGCTTCTCCAGCTCATCTCGGAGCTGCTCGTTGTCTACCAAGGCTTTCTGCTTTTGCTTCCTCTGGTCTTCTACCTCGGCCTCCAGGCTGTTCACCTGAGCCTTCAGCTGGGTGATGTATCTCTGAGCCTGAGGAGAGAAAACAGGGAGCTGGAAACAAAGCATCCTTTTTTCCTGACGCAACCAAAATCATATTCCCCCCCTTCTTCCTGGGTTCTTTCGGTCATCAGCTCCAAAGAATGACACTTTCGCCCTTCATATTATCATATGTGGTGGACATGCGCAGAAGCTAAAAAATATTGGATAAAAATATGTACATGATTGGAAACAACAACATATTGATTTGAAACCTAAAATATTTCTATTGGGGATACTGCCAGAAACTTATAGTAAAGAAAATGTATATTTGATTATTCATGTAATAAGAGAGCGTATGCCCCAAGATAAATTCTTTGTGTGTCCAATCACACTTGGCCAATAAAGAATTCTATTCTATTCTATTCTATTCTATTCTATTCTATTCTATTCTATTCTATTCTATTCTATTCTATTCTATTCTATTCTAATAACCGCAGCTAGAATTGTATTTGTACAAAATTGGAAAAGTGAAGAGATTCTATATGATAAGGAAAATATTAGAATGTGCAGAAATGAATAGATTAACACTGGCAATTGAAGAGAAAGAACAGACTGGTTATTATGAGATATGGGGGACATTTTATCGATGGTTAGAGGACAAATATAAAAATTAGATGAGTTTTCTATAGAAAAACTCTATATATTCTATTTTCTATAGAAAATAGTTAATAGAGTTAATAGAGTTAAGCAAATTAAGAAGAGGATGTAAAGTATTAGATGTTTAATGTATTGGTATTAAGTTAGGAATAGATTAAATAATGAATATGATTGTAAATTGTAACTGTTATTGCACAAATCCGGACCTTACCTCCAGCTTAATCTTCTCTAGCTCGGTCTGAAGCAGTTCAATTTCTTTCTTCAGGTTTTCGATTTGCAGGTCTCTGAAGATAAAAAGAGCAACGCGTCACATTAATGGTGTGCAAAATGCAAGTTTCGCGTCGGTTTCATGGCCTCCACTTTCCCCATCGGATAGTCAGCTAGCCTGCTTAGATTTCTAGCGTCTTTCACTAAAGACGATGGTTCGGTATATTTATACCTCCTGCAATTCCATGAAGCCATGCTCGCTCCTGTCTCTAAAAAATACCATTTGACTGTCAAAGGAATGAAGCTGAATATTATGTATTACCAATCACCTTAGAAGATTAGAAATAGAAATAGAATAACAGAGTTGGAAGGGACCTTGGAGGTCTTCTAGTCCAACCCCCTGCTTAGGCAGGAAACCCTACACCACTTCAGACAAATGGTTTACCCAAAATCTTTTTAAAAACTTCCAGTGTTGGAGCATTCACAACTTCTGGAGGCAAGTTGTTCCACGGATTAATTGTTCTCACTGTCAGGAAATTCCTCCTTGGTTCTAAGTTGCTTCTCTCCTTGATTAGTTTCCACCCGTTGCTTCTTGTCCTGCCTTCAGGTGCTTTGGAGAATAGCTTGACTGCCTCTTCTTTGGGGCAGCCCCTGAGATATTGGAAGACTGCTATCATGTCTCCCCTGGTCCTTCTCTTCATCAAACTAGACATACCCAGTTCCTGCAACCATTCTTCATATGTTTTAGCCTCCAGTTCCCTAATCCTTTTTCTTGCTTTTCTCTGCACTCTTTCTAGAGTCTCCACATCTTTTTTGCATTGTGGCGACCAAAACTGAATGCAATATTCCAAGTGTGGCCTTATCAAGATTGTTAAAGACATACATAGTCTCCTGGGTTTCTTCTGTCACCAACCCTTCAAAACTTTTTTAAAAATTATTTTGTTTACTTTTGGGAATCCCAAGCACTAGATTGCTTAAGGGTTGCTTTTGTTAACTACAAAAGGACCGAGGTTTTGCTGATCAAATACCTGTCATCTTTTAGTCCATTGGGCGGCCCGAAAGTCTGCTCAAATATATCCGACACATTCTACAAAAAAAAAAAAAAAGGAAAAATTCTGGGCGTTAAAATTTTGCACATGTTCAGAAACACGGTTATGCCTTCCAAAGCTAAGGTAAAAGAAAAAATAACTATGGAGCTGTACCCCATCTGGAAGGGGAAAATTTACTCCAGTCATCCACTTCTGAATGGTCTGACCGAGCACCTGCATTGAGCATGGGTCCCATCCAGCTCTATTCTATTCTTATTTTATCTCACCTGCTGCTCTACGGATGGAGCTGAGCTGATCTCAATCAGGTTTTCCGGCTCCTCGTCTTCGGGGGCTTCTTCCGGAATGACCACCACCGGCTTGACGTGCTCGGCCAGGGCGGATGCCCTCAGGAAATTTGGGGGGTTCTGTGGGAGGAAGGAGACCCAAACTCATTGGTAGTCTCACACTGCAATGAACAAGGATATGCATTCAATATTGCAGCTACTAAGATTGTTGGACGAGCAGGGACAAAAACAGCCAGCTATTAAGATTGGTGGACGAGCAGGGACAAAAACAGCCAGCTACTAAGATTGTTGGACAAGCAGGGACAAAAACAGCCAGCTACTAAGATTATTGGACGAGAAGGGACAAAAACAGGCAGCTACTAAGATTGTTGGATGAGCAGGCACAAAAGCAGCCAGTTACTAAGATTGTTGGCTGACGAGGGACAAAACAGCCAGGGAAGTGATTGAAGCATGGGAAACGGGCCCCTCGTCAGTCAACAGGATTAACAGTCGTATTAAGGACGTCCGTCCCTGTTTCTATCAGGAAAAATAGGGGATACCTCGGGCAACCGTGGAATCTGGATGAGACGTTTGAAATACAGCATGTCCGATGCCCTTTTGAAAAAGTTCTTCAGGCTGCAAAGAAAATACAGTAGGAAAATGTCAAAGGAAGGTGAGGTGTTCCTAGGAAACCCACAATCCTTACTACTTGGTGCAGCTAAGTATTTTTTATTTTATTTTATTTTATTTTATTTTATTTTATTTTATTTTATTTTATTATTTTATTATTTTATTTTATTTTATTTTATTATTTTATTTTTTCCTTTGTGCTTCCTGAAGGAACAGAACAGAAAATGAATGGAAAAATACAAGAATCTAGCAAAGTTAGCTACTGTTCTTACTGTGCTATTCTTTTAGAGGTTAACCTAACTCACAAATCTATCCTGTTGGTAGCCAACACTCATCTTCTCTCTTCGAATCCCATCTATAAACTGGTTTAATCCAGAGTGCAGCCAGCTTTGAATAAAACCAGCCAGGTTTCTAGGCCTACATGATCTCAGAAATCCCTTCCAACTCTGTTATTCTATATTCAATGGGACAGAAGTTGCCTTCAGAAGTTTTGGGAGCTTCATCACTGGAAGCTTTCAAGAAGAGATTGGACTGCCATCAGTCAGAAATGGTACAGGGCCGTGATGGTGAACCTATGGATATCGGTGGGCACGCGAGCTCAACTCACCGGTTCCACCGGAAGTTGGCAAATGGGCCGTTTCCAGTCTCCGGAGGGCCTCCGGTGGGGGGTGGGGAAGGCTGTTTTCGCCCTCCCCAGACTCCTAAAAAGGTTCTGGAGGCTAGGGAAAGCAAAAAACGGGCCTTCTGGTCCCACTGGAAGTTGGCAAATGGGCCATTTCTGGCCTCCGGGGTGGGGGGTGGGGAAGGCCGTTTTCGCCCTCCCCAGGCTCCTAGAAAGACTCTGGAGGCTGGGAAGAGCAAAAAACAGGCCTACCATGCCACTGCATGCCAGGAGCGGGGGGAGGTCGATTATGGGTGTTGGCACGTGCACACGCGACCCCCTCACCCCCTGCTCTTGGCATGCGATGGCAAAAAGGTTAGCCATCACTGGTGTAGGGTCTCCTGCCTGTGTTAGGGGGCTGGACTAGATGACCTACAAGGTCCCTTCCAACTCTGTTATTCTATAAATCTGGTCTGGTAAGCAGTTCCTGGCTATTCTTCATGTTGCTGTGCGTATTTTCTTTTTTTTTTAAAGTGCCTATTATACAACGGGATGTCCTTTTAAGAGAGGATTCTTAAGGAACCCGAGAAAAATTGCAGTATATTTCTGTTACTTTTTTTACTTTTTTTTTTTTTAATCAGAATGGCCCCGGACGGCACGATTCGATTACATGCTAGGGAATACCTAACGCAGCACTTCGGTGGTTCTGGTTTTTTCACGACCCACGCAGCCGCAACTGGCACGCAAGGCTACCGTTACCTGCGAAACTGTTCGTGGAACCTGTCTCGATGGCCTTGCAACGTATCGGCTGGCAAACCTGAGCAAGGGAAGAAGCAAAAAGGGTAGGAATGAAGCGTCAAGAAACTTCAAAGGGTCATTTGTAATCAGAGATGGGGGGAAAAAAAGAGCAAACTACTCTTTTTCCAAATAAGCCATCCTGGTTGATTTTAAAAAAACTGAGGTTTCGGGGCCTGCGACATCCTCAAAAGGATAACTGAGGCAAAAAAAAAAAATTGTTTTTAAGTCCCAAAGATTCTGTTTTTTCAGGAGGCAACTGGACTTCCTGTTTTTTTCTTTGAAGACGTTTCGCTTCTCCTCCAAGAAGCTTCTTCAGCTCTAGCTGGATAGTGGGGAACGGAAGGATTGATACTCCTTGCAGACAGCTGGTCCTTTGCATCCTTTTAGAAGGTCGTTGAAGCCCCCTTGGAGGTTTTATCTGAGTCCTCAGAGTCACCTGAGCGGTGCAAATGGTTCCTGTAGTCTTGCCATTTTTTTCCCCCTCTGGAAATCCATTCCTGCTTCCACATCATTCAAAGGACATTCATCCCAAATTGCATAGCTAAAAGTTGGTGGAGATTCTCGGTCATCCAGGTCACAGTTGTCCCAAAGGTCCTTTTTTCCAGGAGGCCACTGGACTTTCTGCCTCCTGAAAAAGCCCCTTTGGGACAACCGTAACCTGGATGACCGAGAATCTCTACCGACTGTTTTCATGCTGCCCTCTCTGCCCATTAGCAGCATTTCTAGGAGGCATCTACAGAAACAGGGTATCCGAGCAAATCCCCTCCGGCTTAAGTAAATCCTTTGAAAGGATGCATCGGTTTAAATCCTGCTCTGGCTCCACAGAAGAGCTACGAGCCGTTGAGTCAAAAGGAGCAGGAATGTCTCCCACGGGAGGTTTCCAGCTGGTAGTGCCAGGGTTGTTTTTAAAAGGGCGCCTGTGTTGTGATTGCAGGCCCGATTCAAATCCGGCCACGCAATCTTGTTCTTTGCAAACTTTCCTGCCTTCGGGGCACTCTCCCCACCCAGCCAGCAATTCCTGCTCGCTTTGCAAAGGATCCTGGGACACGCCAGGATGCACAGAGGAAAAAGCTTTCAACTCCTACTTGTCAAGTATTTGCAAGCCATTGGCACATGTGTCATATAGACACCAGTGGAGGCAGAGAGTGTCTCCACCCCTATGTGGAAAGGAGGGGCTTACCCTGAGTATAAAACCCCCTTCAACCTTTTCCACCTTGCTCTCTCTCTCTCCATCTCTCCCTTTTCATGTTTGTTCCTCATGAGACTTGATCTCTGTTGTACATAGTTAATATGATTTATCATATGAATAAATACGTTTAAGACATTTATTTATGCATCTGCCTCTGAACTCTTCTATGCTCCTGGGTGTATCTACGATCCCAATTCCACACTACTCACGTTTCTTCTCCAACTTATTGTTAATTTCTCCTTTTGTCGCACCGAGCAGCCTGCAAAACAGGCCGTTTTTCACTGAATCTGCGGCAAAAAACTTTAACCGGACACCCCTGGGAGTGTTAAATCTTTTTAAACCTCAAATCCCAGCAGATCTTCTCCTAGAGCACCCTTCCCAGTTTGTCAATCGATTCAGATCAATTTCCACGTGATGAGTGGGGAGAGGCAGAGAAGCAGGATAAGCAGAAGACAAGATTGTCGGGACATGCCCCGAACCGTTGAAAACTTTTGTGCTTACTTTTGGCTAAGTTTCTCCAGATACTTTGGAAGGATTATTCCAGTGTTTGTCAATCCTAGGAACTTTAAGATGGGTGGACCTCAACTCCCAGGATTCCCCCAGCAAGCCATGCCAGGAGATGAAATCCACCCCTCTTAAAGTTGCAAAGTTGGATAAGCACTGGTTTATTCTTGAAGTTGCTAAACTGGACAAGCACTGGTTTATTCTTAAAGCTGCAAAGTTGACCAACACTGGTTTATTCTCTCTAGCTAGAGTAGGGGTCAGCAACCTGCGGCTTTGCAGCCGCATGTGGCTCTTTCACCCCTCTGCTGCGGCTCCCTGTCACTCAAAATATGCGTCATAGCTGCCAATGTGCGACACCTGCCGGCACGTGATTTATTGAGCTTTTCTATCCCCTGGTAGGCCAACCATGGATAAATCCAAGAAAAGAAAAGTTTCAGAAGAAAACAGAACGTTTAATTCGACTACATATACTAGTTTTGTGGCCGCTCAAGAAATCGTCAGGCACGGGAAGGGTTTTTGTGGCTCCCGGTGTTTTCTTTTCTGTGGGAAACGGGTCCAAATGGCTCTTTTGAGTATTTAAGCTTGCAGACCCCTGAGCTAGAGAGACCTAATCTTCTGTTTCTCCTGCCTCTGTTGGAATCTAGGATGTTTTAGTCCCAGACAGATCCCGGATGCTGGAGCTGCTCCCCCCCCCCCTGCCTTGCAGCCAGTGCCAGAACAGGGATGCTCTGAAGATCCACTTACACGAATGGAGGTTGAACATCAACTTCACGGTGTAATGATACAGGTGGCTGCAATCCTGGATCACCTGGATGAGGGGGGCCAACCGGCATTGAACGGCTGACATCTGGGAGATGGCCATGGAGGTGTTGAGCTGCCGGAAGACTATAAGCAGAGAGAGAGAGAGAGAGAAGTCACCCTCCATCCCTCCTCAGCCACTTTACGATGTGTGGACTTCAACTCCCAGAATCCCCTAGCAAGCATGGATATGGAAGCAAACGCCCCAAGGATGCCCATTTGCATCTTTTTTTTTAATTTAAATTTTTATTGTAAACACATTAAGACAAACACACAAACATACAACATTAATATACATAAACTCTTTTTACAGCTCTTTCATAGTGATCCTTTCTTAATATTTATTTATTATCTATCTATCTATCTATCTATCTATCTATCTATCTATCTATCTATCTATCAAATTTCTATACCACCCTACTCCTGGAGGACTCAGGGCGGTGAACAGCCAGGATAAAATACAGATAATACAAACATTAAAAGTCCATTAAAATTATTAAATATTTTGGCCGAAAACAAATTTAAAACACCCAATTTGTAAAACAGATTAAACAATTTAAAAATTTAAAAGGGAGAGTTAATATTTACTATTTATACAGATTTTAACTTTATCTTGTTCCATATCGCTATCTCTCTTCTTTAATTTCATCTACATGTTACTTGACCTTTACATTTCAGTCATTTATCTTGTAATTTACCGATTTCCCCCCCTTGATTTTAACATTTCTTTCTCTCTCCTTTATTCCTCTTTCTCATTTTTCCTACCCTGCAACCACTCATACCATCTATGCCAAATTTTATAGTATTCTGTATCCTCTTTTTCCTTGAGTTCTTTTGTCAGTTTGTCCATCTCTGTGCATTCTAAAAAATTTTTAATTAACTCATTTGCATCTTAAGCACCAATCAACCACACCAAACGGAGTAACGGAAAACTTGGAAGGGACCTTGGAGGCCTTCTAGACTGACCCCCTGCTCAAGCAGGAAACCCTATGCTACTCCACACAAAATGGTTGTCCAATCAAACTTGTGGAGGTAAGGTACAATGATCATCAATGCCGGAAGCTCACGAATTTTATGCCTTTATTTATTTTTTTAATGAATAACTCAGGGCAGCGGACATCTATAATACTCCTTCCTCGTCCTATTTTCCCACAACAACAACAACTCTACGAGGTAGGTCGGGCTAAGAGAGGAAGACTAGCCCAAGGTCATCCCGCTGGCTTTTTTTGCAACGTGTACAGGTTTAATCTTCTCCCCCACCTTCTCCAAAATCATTTAAAATAAGACACCTTTTCATTTTCAGAGAACAAAGTTTCCCCAACTGGGAGACGGCCAATGTTGCAGCCGAGAGTTTGCAGATGGATTTGTGGATCCAGCTGTTAGGCAGAGGCCGGGGATCGAACTGAATCTCGCACAACCTCTGCAGGTTTAGAAAATCCAGGTTCCAGAACCGCAATACCACTTAGACTTATATACCGCTTTACAGTGCTTTCCAGCCCCCTCTAAGCGATTTTACAGAGTCAGCCTCTTGCCCCCCCCAACTATCTGGGTCCTCATTTTACCCACCTCAGAAGGACGGGAGGCTGAGTCAACCTTGAGCCTGGTGAGATTCGAACTGCCAAACTGCAGGCAGCCGGCAATTAGCAGAAGGAGCTGCAGTACTGCACTCTAACCACTGCGCCACCGAGGCTCATAGAAGCATAATAGAAGAGCATTGAACTAATTCAACCACTGAACCGTTTTCCTATTGCTAAGAAACTCCCTTCGCTTATTCAGGCTGCAACATGGTTGGCTTAAGCGAGATGTTGCCCTGGTTATAACAAGTTGGTCATTAACTCGAAGCATACATTTCTGTGCCCGCAGGGAGGGAGGCCAGACCAAGGTCAGGTGTCACCCCAGAACTTGGCAAGGAGAAAGGAGCACGACTCGACGTCAAACATCGGCGTTATCTGATGCTCCACACAAAGGAAGCTCACAAAAAGCAGGACGGATAGGAGGGGCTCGCCAAAGTCAACAATCGTTCCGGGCAGAAATGCAAAATTCGGGATCGCATTTCCGAGAGCTTTGCAAATGCAAACTTGTGCGGCAGGAAACGCTTGCGGATTATTATTATTATTTTTTAAAACACCAATGTCTCAATTCTGACAACTTGCAGGATTTACACGGGTTTAAAAGATGAAAAAGAGAAAAAATAATTAGAAGAATAGAAACCCAGATGACGCCTAGGTAAAAGGAAAAAAGGGAGGGGGGAGGTAAAAAAGAAAAAGTGAGATTATTATAAAAATGTACACAAATGATGAAATAGGTATAAATATTAATCGAATAAGAAATTGAAATGAGAATAGAGATAAATAGAAAATCGGGGCTGCTCGAACACCATTCTAGATTGAATTGAAAAGGGAAACAACAAGAGAGAGCGGAAGGAGTAGAGAAAGGAAGGGAGAAGAGAGGAAAGGAGAAGGAGAGATAGAAGAAAGGGAAAAGGAGAGGAAGAAAAGGGAGGGGAAAGAGGAGTAGGAGAGAAGGTTAGAAAGGGAGGAAGAAGAGAGGAGTGGGAGAAGGGAAGGGGAAGTAGGAAAAAGAAGGAGAGGAAGAATGAAGAAAGGAGGAAGAGATGGAGGAAGGAAGAGAAGGGGAGGAGAAGAGGAAAAAGTTGTGGTAAAATAAAGGAGGGTAAATGGTAAAAGAGCAGCCCCGAACAACTAAAAATGAAAGTTAAAAGATGAGATGAATGGAAAATGATGGATAAAAGATTGTACATTGAAATATGTTTATGAGAAAGAAAAATAAAAACTTTTTGAAAAAAAAAAGGATTTACACAGGTTTGCAAACCCCGTAGCACCTTTGTACCGCATGTCCTCTCTGTTTGTATTAGGGTTACGTATTTTATTTGTTTAATAAAAGACTTTGGGAGAGCCTGATCTTGCAAGGTGATTGCAGAGCAAGCCGATAAATTTTTGCAAACGGGCTGCAAAATCCTCACCGGGCCACCTTAACGGAAAAACCACCAGCTTTAATGGGTTGGTTTTGGGGGATTTTTTTTTTTTTTGTACATTGTGCATTCAGTGTGACGGGTCGATCTGAGCAGGGGCCGATTGTGAAAGGCAAGCCTCGCTTGCCAACTTCTGCAGACAAAGCTTCTGTTCAGCCCATAAAAAAAAGAAAACTTGGCAACCTCACACGCGTCTCCGCTTGGGTTGAAAAATGGCACCGACAGGAGGAGGGAAAAATAAAAAAAAAAGTGAAAGGAGAAAGAAAGAGAGAGCATGGAAGCTCAGCGCAGTCTACCTGATTCTGATAACTTGAGTTCGCAATCCATGTAGTCGAACATCTCAACGGTGAGCTGGAAGCTGCGGAGAAGGGTAAAATCAAGAGGAGAAGAGCAACGATCAGTTTCTCTTCCTATAGAGAAAGGGCCGGGCCTCCGATAAGAAATTTGGGGATTGGGATGCGGTGGCTCCGTGGCTAAGACGTTGAGTTTATCGATCGAAAGGTCGGCAGTTCAGTGGTTCGAATCCCTGCTTTACTTTCATTTTCGCTTTCAGCATAGCTTGATTAGCACAAGAAGAAAAAAAATCTGCTCCCAGCAATTTACCTCCTTGCAGCAAGCAGCAGAGGCCCGCGTAAAACAGCTGAGAGCAAAACAGCTGAGAGTCGGGAGGCCGATTCAATAGACAATCAACTTGTGCTAATTAGGCTGTGCTGAAGCTGAAACGAGCTGTTTCTTCTTGCTGCTTGCTGAAAGGAGATAAACTGCTGGGAGGCAGAGGCCAAAGGGTGGGGGCCAGTGGGTGGGCAAGGCTACATTCGGTGTATAAGACGCACCTTATTTTTTCTTTGCCTGGGGGGGGGGGGGGGAAGGTGCGTCTTATACTCCGAAAAATACTGTAAATATTACAGCTACAAAGCCAAGTGTCTTTGGTGGATCTCCTCCATTTCACTCCTGGGATGCCACCTTTGGCATCAGGGACCAAAAGCAGCTGCTATTTTCTGTTTTTCCGAAAAAATCCCAGGGAACCCTGGCGATGGGAGACCCACTTACATGTTATTCACATCTGTTCCAGCAGCTTTTTCTAGCACCTCGTCGGTGACTTCAAGCCCGGGTGGGAATTGAGGATGCTACAGAGAAGGAAAAAAAAGAAAAAAGCAAGAATTAAACAATTGTCATCGTGTAGAATATTCTGCTGTTTGCAAACCTTGTGGGTGTTTCATGGAAAAAGGGGCTGTCTATGGGTAGCCCTCAACTTCGTTTAGTGACGGCTCAAAGTTACAACAACAACAAACAAACAAACAAACAAAAGTGACATGGACATTTTCATATTTATGACCATTGCAATATCCCGATGATCAAAATTCAGGCGCTCAGCAATTCTCTTAATAACTGTGTTACTTTTGTGGTCCGCCAGCAGCCTGCGGAGCTGGCAGTGGAGTCGGACAGCGATGAGGCTGAGGAAGAACATGGGCCAGTCCTGAAGTCAGGGGAAGGCGCGGATGAGGGCTCTGCGTCAGAGGCAGAGATGGGGCCAGAGCCATCTGGGAGCAATGTGCGGACTCCGGAGCCTCCAGAGGCTGACAGTAGAGAGGCAGAAGAACAGAAGGAGCCTGTTCCTAGTGCACTCATGAGAAGAGCTGCCAGAAGGCAGGAGCAGATAAAGCAAAAAGGACGACTAGGGAGTAAGGCCAAGAGATGATTGGCCCCTCCCATAAGGCTTAAAAAAACAGCAATGGCTCTTGGCCTCTTTGTCGTAAAACAACGTTGATAGTCTTGCTGCACTAATCTCTTGCCGGCGTCTTCTGCTTTTGAGCGAAGCCTTTGGAAGTTTGCCTAATTATACCAAGGTTGGTGATTAGACTGAAGAATTTGTGTTATGAAGAGTTGGTTTTAATTTAGTTTGGACTACGCTGAGAATGAGTTAACTCAAGTCTAACTTTCCTGAAAGAACAGGATCGCTCGGAAGAGATTTACCTTTACGTGGAAGGAGATTTTGGTCAGCAAAAGCTTGGTGTAAATATTCACCAACTGGCCGTAACGATCGTGCAGATGGCCCTGCAAAAGGAAAACCACAAATGCATCTAATTCCAAAAATATATTTGGAGAGGGAAAAATCTGTTTCCATGCAGTGTTTGACAACTCCTTCTCTGCACTGAAGGAAGTTCTAGTTTGTTCTCCTAACCCAGACTGACCAGGGTGTTGTGTTTCTCAACTTTGCAAATTCAAGCTCTGAGGATTTCAACTCCCAGAATTAGAATAGAATAGAATAACAGAGTTGGAAGGGACCTTGGAGGTCTTCTAGTCCAACCCCCTGCCCAGGCAGGAAACCCTACACCACTTCAGACAAATGGTTATCCAACATCTTCTTAAAAACCTCCAGTGTTGGAGCATTCACAACTTCTGGAGGCAAGTTGTTCCACCGGTTAATTGTTCCAACTGTCAGGAAATTCCTCCTTAGTTCTAAGTTGCTTCTCTCCTTGATTAGTTTCTACCCATTGCTTCTTGTCCTGCCCTCAGGTGCTTTGGAGAATAGCTTGACTCCCTCTTCTTTGGGGCAGCCCCTGAGATATTGGAACACTGCTCTCATGTCTCCCCTAGTCCTTCTTTTCATTAAACTAGACATTCCCAGTTCCTGCAACCGTTCTTCATATGTTTTAGCCTCCAGTCTCCTAATCCTCTTTGTTGCTCTTCTCTGCACTCTTTCTAGAGTCTTAAAATCTTTTTTACATTGTGGTGACCAAAACTGAATGTAATATTCCAAGCGTGGCCTTACCAAGGCCTTATAAAGTGGTATTAACACTTCATGTGATCTTGATTCTGTCCCTCTGTTTATGCAGCCTAGATCTGTGTCGGCTTTTTTGGCAGCTGCCACACACAGCTGGCTCATATCTAAGTGGTTGTCCACTAGGACTCCGAGATCCCTCTCACAGTTACTACTATTGAGCAAGGTTCCACCTATACTGTATCAAGCTTCTCCTTGATTAGTTTCCCCCATCTTTGCTCTCTAGTTTGGCAAAGGTCTGAGCTTAGTCTCCTAAACCTATTTAACATCTAAAGGTTCTTAAAGAGGCAGAAGAGATCCAGAACTCACCCAAAGATCTCCCGTTTCTCGAATGTTACTTCGATACCGCTGACAGTCCTGGAGAACCTAGAAAAAATCAACAGGTCGTTGGAAAAAAACAACAACCCCACGGAGAACCTAGAATTGGACTTCTCAAAAATGCAAAATATGGAGTTTTGGGATGAAAGGCAATGTGATTCTGTGACTCACAGTTAAAAGGGGGGAAGATCAAGGAACTTACGTTTGGGTGGCCATCTCGGAGAACTTTGTGAAGGACATGGCAGAACTTCCAGCTCAGGATGGCACTGCTGGGCAGCGGGAGACCGATGGCATACGACCAGAAAGTAAATGCGCCTTTCTCGTGATGGGTCCCTAGAATAATTCCTTCGCACAAGTTAAGGTTCATATTCAATTTTTGGGACACACGGTCCACATTTTGCTAAGATCAACAATCGGAAAGAACCCGAGAAACAATTTGGGTTAAATAGGCGAGGAAATGCTACCTTATCAGGAAACTGTGCTGGCAGATGAAACTTCAATTTAACTGGTTTTCTTCAGGACGTGCTATATAGTTTACCTTACACCCGTACTCTCTGTTTCTCCATGCCTGCCACCAGAAAGGATGAAGGAAACTCAAAAGCAGTCCGATTATAAGGGGAGGTGAATGATGTAGTAGGAAGGGAGAGAAAGAAAGGTGACCCTGGACAATGCTAGGTAAATGAGACAGAGAGATGAAATCAGGGTTGGGATTCAGCCAATTCGGGCGAATCGGATGGAGAAAGATGGATGGATGGATAGGAAGGTAAGTAGACATATATATGCTGATAGATGGAGGGAGGGAGAGAGAGATGGGCAGAGAAAGAGAATGGATAGATGGACAGATGGAGGGATGAATGGATGGATGGATAGGAAGGTAAGCAGATATATATGCTGATAGATAGAGAGTGAGAGATGGGCAGAGAAAGAGAGATCGATGGATGGATGAGTAGGTAGGAGGGTAGATATATATATATAAGCTGATGGAGAGAGAGATGGACAGAGAAAGATGGATGGATGGATGGATAGGAAAATGATGAGAAGACAGACAGAGATAATAATAATAATAATAATAATAATTATTATTATTATTATTATTATTATTATTATTATTATTATTATTATTTTATTTCTATACCGCCCTTCTCCCGAAGGACTCAGGGCGGTGTACAGCCAATTTAAAAACACAAGACACAACAATGATTAAAAATTAAAATAATTAAATAGATTTGGCCGGTTTAAAACCCCAAAAATTTAAAATACCCCAATGGCCAGAGAGAGAGAAAAGTGATGGATGGATGGATGGATGGATGGATAGAGAGAGAGAGAGAGAAAAGCCAGTTTGGTCTGAGTTACACTGCTGGATAAAAACTGACTTTGTTCTATTTACCTTCTGACCCTGTTTACATTTCCTAGCCTAAGTTGAACTTGTAGACTCCCGGAGGCAAAAATCTTTTCTTCTCCGTGTTTGCTCGCTTGTTTTTATAACTATTTTGCAAGCTGGCCCCAGAGGCTCCTTGCCAACATCAGTTGAACGGAGAAACCAAAACTTTGAGGACATCAAGCAAACAAGGGAATCATGGGGTGGAAGGATACTCCGAGCATGCTTCTCCTTCACGGGGACTTCCAACGTGTTGATGGCTTTGCTGATACTGATCGCCTGTGGGGGGAGAAAACAGAGACCACCGAGGTGAAACCAAGCCCGGGATTCCTTCTAGCAGTTTTTTTTAAAATTTCCCTTTTATTTATTTAGTTGTATTCCCGCCGTCGTTATTTTCACGACTAACTCAAAACATAATCCCACACGCCTTCCTCTTCCTTTGATCCGCCATAACTTTTGAATGTTATGCTGGTCGTTAAGTAAATAGGCAGTCCTCAACTTACGATAGTTCGTTGAGCGATCGTTCGAAGTTATGACGGCACCGAAAAAAGTGACTTACGATGACTCGTTTTTCACGTAATCGTTGCTGCCTCCCCCTGGTCACAGGATCAAAATCCAGAGGCTTGGCAACTGACTCTTATTTATGATGGTGGTTGCACTGGCCTGTGATCCAGGGGTGAAATCCAGAAGGTTCTGGAGAACCGGTAGCGGAAATTTTGAGCAGTTCGGAGAACCGGCAAATACCACCTCTGGCTGGCCCCAGGAGTGGGGTGGGAATGGAGATTTTGCAATATCCTTCCCCCAGGAGTGGGGAGGGAATGGGGATTTTGCAGTATCCTTTCCCCAGGAGTGGGGAGGGAATGGGGATTTTGCAGTATCCTTCCCCCAGCAGTGGGGAGGAAATGGGGATTTTGCAGTATCCTTCCCCCAGGAGTGGGGAGGAAATGGGGATTTGGCAGTATCCTTCCCCCAGGAGTGGGGAGGAAATGGGGATTTGGCAGTATCCTTCCCCCAGGAGTGGGGAGACAGGAATTTGGGGCTGAATGGCCATCGTAATGATTCACTTAGTGACAGGAATTTTGGGCTCAATGGTCGTAGTAGAAAACGACCTGGACTATAATTTCCAAAAGGAGGGGATTGGATTCCCGCAGAGTCCCGCGTGCGTTCCCACATTCAATCAGTGCAACCTGCAGACTTTAATCCAGCTGCACTGAAACTTGGTTAGGACGGTTAGCTGCTTCTACGGACTGGGAAGGCCGTTCACAGGGAGCCCTGACCTCTTTTCGCACAGAGCCCCTTTGTGGCTCCGTTCATTGAGATTCCACAAGTGCTCGGCTTCCAGCTGAACCGAGGAAGTTAAAGTGGGGGGGGGGGGGGGAAAGCCGCTTTTGAATGTCTTTTGGAACCTGCAAAGTTTTTCGCATCCGGCACACCTTCCTAGATTTCGGCGGTTACCCCAAAGGCACGATGCAACATGTGATGCCTGAGAAGGGGTGAAATCCAGCAGGTTCTGGAGAACCGGTAAGCGGAAATTTTGAGTAGTTCGGAGAACCGGCAAATACCACCTCTGGCTGGCCCCAGAGTGGGGTGGGAATGGAGATTTTGCAATATCCTTCTCCTGGAGTGGGGTGGGAATGGGGATTTTGCAATATCCTTCCCCCAGGAGTGGGGAGGGAATGGGGTTTTTGCAATATCCTTCCCCCAGGAGTGGGGAGGGAATGGGGATTTTGCAATATCCTTCCCCTGGAATGAAATTTCTCCTTAGTTCTAGGTTGCAAGCTCCCGCAATTTTCCCCACTAGAAATCTTGGCCCAAAACAAGCCACCTGGAATTTGCAGCAAGCCATTTTCTTGGAAGGCCTGCTCGGTTTTGGTCCACCAAGAACGGGACCGACACCTCCCCGCCTCCCCCCCACCCGGATTTTTTTCCCTCTCCCCTCCCTTCCTGCCTCTTTGTATGCCCGAACGGGGAGACCATTGTATTGTACCTCTCGAAAGGAAGCACCAAAAGCAATAAACAAACATTTTTGCACACGCAGAAGTGCGGAAGGAGGGAAATCACTTCTCCAGTTTCACTCCGGAGAAAACTCACAAATTGCTTTTTTTTGCAGGCTCAAAAAAACAAAAACAAAAACTGGAAAATGTTGGGTTCCTATTAGCCTGGACATCTTTTTTCTTTGCAAGACAATAGGGATAGGTGGGGACCAATTGCTATCAGGACCCCAACCTGAACTCCCCCAGGTTCAGCGTGTCTTTAATGGAGAATGAAAGGTTGGGGGTATTGGGTATGGAGTTGGGGGGGGGGGTGCATGAAGAGAGGCTCAGCCAATCTCATTGTACACATGTACTCTGACCAGAGGTGAGTTCAACTTACCTTTACTACCGGTTCGCAATGGAAGCATACATGCTACTGCGCCAGTGGTGGGTTTCAAATTTTTTTATTACCAGTCCTGTGGGTGTGGCTTGGTGGGCGTGGCAGGGGAAGGATACTGTAAAGTCTCCATTCCCTCCCCAATTCAGGGGAAGGTTACTGCAAAATCCCCATTTCCTCCCAATCATCTGGGACTCGGGAGGCAGAGAATAGATGGGGGGACGGAGCCAGTCAGAATTTTTACTACCGGTTCTCCAAACTACTCAAAATTTCCACTACCGGTTCTCCAGAATTGGTCAGAACCTGCTGAAACCCACCTCTGTTCTGCGCATGTGCAGATCGTCAGTGATGACGTCGGGGAGGGTGGGCGGAGCCTCCCGCCACCATTATTACCGGTTCGCAAGAACCGGATCGAACCCGGAGCAACCCACCACTGACAAACAATCTGACAATAATAAATGGATTGGATTGGATAGGTCGAATTGAATTGAGAAAAATTTACAAGCAGTTCTCAACCTATAACTGTTCGTGGAGCAATTGTCTGAACGTACAATGACAGTGGAAAAAAATCGATTTCTTTGCACTTGTGACTTGCACTCAAGAGAAATCGTGGATCCAGGTCAGGATCAACCCAGACCTTGAAAAAAAAAAAACAACAGCAAAAGATATTTGCCGGAAGAGATCCGATTCTCCCATTAAGGAGAAAAACCTTGGCTGGTAGCATCTCACGAAGCTATCGCTTAAAAAGGACTTTGAAAAGGAGGAGGAGGAGGAGGAGGAGAATTCTTGACTGAGCATCACTACTTCCTGCTCACCGCGATAAATTTAGCAACTTGGCCTGGGATGCTAAATTCTTAATTAGGATTTTGTTTTGCTGAGGTCGGAGGAGAAAAGGTTTTCCTAGCAAGGCTGCCAGCTCATCGGAAGCCTGAAGGGGAGAAAGGGACCCATTTTGACCCTCGTTCTCAAGAGGAGGTCATATTTCACCCCACGCGCTTTGTGGGTTTGTCTGCTTTGGGAAATCGGAGTTTCTTTTCTTCTTCTTCGGGAGTTTCTAGGAATGCCAACCGAGTGGGCGAATCCAGGAAAAATAAGGGAAGGCTCGTGATTCTCATGTGCCGAGCGATGCAAAGCCAGTTGTTCCAGCTAGTTGTGTAATTTTCGAAGGCAGCTGTCCTGACGTGTAAAGCAGGCCAGGTGAAACGCGCGCGCAACTCTGCCCAACCGCAAGTGTGAGGTTAGCAAGTGGGCGGGCGACACACCCTCGCAAGCATCCATCCACATTCTTGGCATTCCACCGTTCGCACATGGAAGCCGACCACTGTGCAAAACACGGGAGAACAGAAGAGCTGGGGAGTTGGAGAAAGCTTTTCTCACCCGGCTTCCTTAAGTGAAGCTCTCTGAAAATGGTATCAGGTCTCCTCCTTGAGCAAGGGGCTGGACTAGAAGACCTCCAGGGTCCCTTCTAGCTCTCTGATTTTGTTATTCTGAAATGGTATAGGGCAGTGATGGCTAACCTTTTTGCCACCGCGTGCCAAAATCGGGGGTCGCACGGGGGTGTGGCCACACCCATAATTCTATGTGCCATGCCCTCCCTGTGTGACCCCCCCCGCACTTCCCCCCCCGGCTTCACGCAATGGCCCATGATGGTACAGTGGGCCCGGTAGGACCGTTTTTTTCCCTCCCCAGGATCCCAGAGTCTTTCTAGGAGCCTGGGGAGGGCAAAAACAGCCTTCTCCATCACCACCCCGGAGGCCGGAAACGGCCCATTTGCCGACTTCCGGTGGGACCGGAAGGCCTGTTTTTTTGCTCTCCCCAGGCTCCAGAGCCTTTCTAGGAGCCTGGGGAGGGCGAAAACGGCCTTCCCCACTAACCCCCGGAGGCCAGAAACAACCTGTTTCCCTACTTCCGGTGGGCCCAGAAGGCCCGAAAATCGGCTGGCCAGTGCACATGTGTGCCAGAGGTGAGCTCGCGTGCCCACCGATATGACTCCATGTGGCACGTGTGCCATAGGTTCGCCATCATGGGTATACGGTCTCTTGCCTGAGCAGGGGGTTGGACTAGAAGACCTCCAAGGTCCCTTCCAGCTCTCTGATTTTGTTACTTTGCCAGGCCTCAAAATAGGAACTAGATTGGTGTTCAAGTGACATTCCAGATGATTTGGGGTTGCACCCAAGGCACCTACTATTATTATTATTATTGTGAGTCAATGTGTGTAGACTTAAGCCACGGCTAGTTTCTATTTCAGCATACTGGGTGTGTATTACAACAGACACAGACTTCAGAGGATCATTAGAACTGCAGAAAAAACAATGGCTACCAACCTGCCTTCCATGGAGGACCTGTCTACTGCACGAGTCAAAAAGAGGGCTGGGAAACATTGTGAAACAGTGTTATCTTCATTTGAGATGTCAAAAGGGTTTTGTGGCTCCCGGTGTTTTCTTTTCTGTGGGAAACCGGTCCAAATGGCTCTTTGAGTGCTTAAGGTTGCCGACCCCTGGACTTTAGTTAGTATCACACTTGGGGCATCCCGTTTCCAAATCTGAGCACCTTCTACCGAACAGGCTTTTCATGCCAGCTTCCCAAACGCCCACCGTCTTCCCAAGTGTCCAAACCCAGGAAGGAGAAAAGAGGAAGTGACTCAGGACTTGTTTGGAAATGCTGCGATGAAGTCACCGTAGCCGAAGAGACCTTCAGAATCGTCCTTAGAAGCCGAGCTTGCCTTTCTAGTTTCTACATCGGAGAAGCTTCCTTGTTGTGAAAACCTCGTTTCCGTCACGGTGATCTCATTTCCTCTTTGACACCTGATTCTTTAGCCGCAGAAGAAGGAACATGAACCCAAGGGCTCATCTTGGTGTCAGCTTGCCGTGGGTTGTAATTTGACCTCGGATGAGGCAAATCGCCCTTGAAACATCTCAGGAAGGTTGCAATCCAATTGAAGATGTGTCTGCCGACGGCTGGCAGCCCTTTCTGAGGAACCCATCATGGGCAGAGAGCTGAAATTTAAGGATGCCATTCCTGGGTGTGCTGTCGGTCTTCCCACACAGATCCAGAGGGGAGCAGCCAAGAAGGTTTCACATCCTCTCTTGCTGTTTTGTGCACATTTGAGCAATTAAAAAAAGATGACTCAACCTACAATTACAGACAACGATGTCCGGTGAACAAAGCTTATCTCCGTTTCCATTTCAAAAGATGCCCAGATGGGAAGTGAACAAACAGGCATGTTTGGCAGGCACCGTAGAGAAGTATGGAGGGAGGAGGTCCACGTAGGGAGCCCCCATTATGTCGGAGAATAAGAGCCAGAATTACTTCAACCCACACAGGAATAGAATTGGAGATATATCGGGATGTGCTTTCTTGACGATGGTTAAGCTAGGAAAAATGATGGGACTCCTGTCAATTATGGAACTTCTCTTCATCCATGGGCCTTCTCCAACGCTGGAGGACATCTACAGGATGTGCTTTCTTGGTGATGGTTAGCTAGGAAAAATTATGGGTCTCCTGTCAATTATGGAACTTCTCTTCATCCATGGACCTTCTCCAACAATGGAGGACATCTACAGTTTGGGAACAGACCCATCTCCCAGAGGGGATCCTGGCCACCATTTCAACATCCATCATGCCAAGTTTCCATATTCTTCCAAATTCATCTTATTTTTTTTGTTTTGTTCCTTCTGCTTCTTTTCTTCTTTCAGTGGTTTGGTTTTCGGGCGCAGAGGTCTCCAACCTTGGCCACTTTAAGACTTGTGGACTTCAACTCCCAGAATTCCTCAGTTCAGCAAACCAAGCTTTGCTGGTTGAGGAATTCTGGGAGTTGAAGTCCACAAGTCTTAAAAGTGGCCAAGGTTGGAGACCTCTGTTCTGGAGAAGAAACCACATCTGGTCCTAGAACTAATCCGGGCCATTTCGTGTGCTGCTGATGGGCTTTGAGTCTTGGCTGGCTCCGAAGGCTGCCAAGAAGTGTGTTGTCAAAGGGGGAAAAGTTGCGTCACACCTTATCCAGGAAAGGAAAATATCCCAGGCAGGGCTAAGAAGGACTCAACAATCCTTCCTAGATAGAGATAACGCCAGCTATCTCGCATCAGGCAGGCGATATATAAAGTTAATCATTAACCCCAGAACCACTTTTTGTAATATACCTGGGGGGAGCCCAACCAGGTTTCTCCTCGCTGGTGATCTGAAAATGATCCTTTTTTTTTTTTGCATGACCCAGTGTAGATTTCCAGCAGTTGGTCTAGGTTCCAAAGAATCTTGCCCTCCGTTTCATCTGGATCTTGCCAAGATCCTTTTGGGCTGATCTTTGCTTTGGATCTTATAGTGACTGGAGAGCTGAAATTGTCTGAAATGGTATAGGGCAGGGGTCTCCAACCTTGGCCACTTTAAGACTTGTGGACTTCAACTCCCAGAATTCCTCAATCAGCAGGGGAATTCTGGGAGTTGAAGTCCACAAGTCTTAAAAGTTGCCAAGTTTGGAGACCTCTCCTATAGGGTTGAGCAGAGGGTTAGACTAGAAGACCTCTTAGGTCCCTTCCGACCCTATGATTCTATGTTGAATAAGCCCTCGAAAGGTTTGTGGAACAGATACAGCCTCTGAGATGAGTCAGCTCCTCATTGATGATATGATAGCAATTTTCCAACTATTTGAATGGCTGCCACAAAGAGGAGAGAGTCAACTTATTTTCCAAAGCACCAGAAGGCAGGACAAGAAGCAACGGATGGAAACTAACCAAGGAGAGAAGCAACCTGGAATTAAGGAGAAACTTCCTGACATGTGAGGACAATTAACCAGTGGAACAGCTGGCCACCAGAAGTTCTGGGTGCTCCATCACTGGAGATTTTTAAGAAAAGATTGTCTGAAATGGTGTAGGGTCCAGGGAGCTGGAGTAGAAGATATCCAAGGTCCTTTCTGATTGAAGGCTAAGAGCACCAAATGCCCGATCTTTGGAAAGACACAAAATTGATCGAAGATCCGCATTCTCTGTGGCTTCAAAGGGTTCCAGAGAGACTTCATAGCTTTCTCTTTTTAACCAAGTTATAAAACTTTCCTGCCTTTTGCAGTGAAGCGGTGTTTATACATGAGATAATCTCAGGACTGAGGGAGGTGGAGAGAGAACCCTTTCCTTGCTGAAACGATTTACAGTAGTCCTCGACCTACGACTACAACGGAGTCCAAAATTTCCGCGGCCAAGCCAGGCAATGATCACCCCAATAATTCACACATCAGTTAAAGACCCCCATAAAGGTTTACCTTGCCCAATAATTGGATAAAGAGACCAACAAGATAGCTTGAGCTACGTAGACTATCACTGGAATATTTTGTTAAGACGGACATCCTACTTACCTACATCTTGCAAAGGTACCCTACAGAGATTGGGGGAACCCTTCTAGCTAAATAAACGTGTTTTAGGATCATGCTGCAAGACAAACCTATTACAGGAGCAATCTGCATTTTTACAGTCATAAATTTCAGCCTGGGTATGATGAGGCCAACATTGTAATAATAATAATTATTATTATCACGCATTCATACCGGAAAACAAACATGAGACGCGACTGCCAACTTCGGAGTAATGTAAACAAAAACTTTTTTAAGGGACGTTTTACTCAAGGACAACAACCTACGCATGAAATGTAGGTTGGGCTCACTTGTCGAAAAGGGACAGCCAAAGGAGGGGGAGAAAAAAAATCAATCTATCAACTTCAAAGAATTAAAATTAAAATTGTCTGTGATTCCACGTAGTTTAACAATGATCAAACCCTGCAAATGGATTTTGTTTTGTTTGTTTTTTTACAACTCCAAGCCTTGGTATACGCCAAACCGGATTTGCTAGAATAACTAGGAAAAAAACTAAAGTTTGGTTGAGTGTGTAAGTTCGTCGGAAGGAATGCAAGGCTTTTGAGAAAGAGGGTGAGGACGGAACTTAGAAGAAAGTTTCCTAATTCACTTAAAGATGGATTTTTTAAAAAAATGGGCGTCTGGATGTTTGTGTTTACTTGCATAAAAAGTCAAGGCGGTGTCAACTTTAAGTAGCACAAAGGTGTGTGGCTGTGAAAGAGGATAGGCCAACTTCCTGGTTCTTTCAACGGGCCATTTTAGACACTAAAGATTATATTTTAAATCAAGGGAACGTTCATTTTTAAAAATAACTCTCATGGTTTAAAAACCGTCTCCTTTGTTCTTAGTGCGCCTTTGGGACATTTTGAATAATGGGAGAGAATTCTGCAATCATTTTCCTTGATTCAACGTGATTTCCTAACTCCTTCATTGAGAAAAATCAAGACATCTCTAGTTAAAAAAAACACACCGGAGGAATAATCCGGTTTCTATGTTGAACAGGAAAAGAAAAAAAATAAAATAAAATCCGAGATTTCCATTAAACCAACGCTAAAATAAAAAAAGGAAAATATTTCATAGGGGCAGAAATGTTTTGTTTTGTTCTGTCTCTGCTCGCTTCAACAACTCTATGGGCAGCCAGCTATGAAAATTGGATTCGTGATAGAAATAGAATAGAATAACAGAATTGCAAAGGGACCTTGGAGGTCTTCTAGTCCAACCCCCTGCTTAGGCAGGAAACCCTACAACCACTTCAGACAAATGGCTATCCAACATCTTCTTAAAAACTTCCAGTGTTGGAGCCTTCACAACTTCTGGTTGCAAGTTGTTCCACTGATTAATTGTTCTAACTGTCAGGAAATTTCTCCTTATTCTAAGTTGCTTCTCTCCTTGATTTAAAGAGGAACAAGTTCCTATTAAAAAGATGATTAAGAAAAGCAAGCGTCTAAAAAACAAGAAACAAATATGGCATCATAAACGATTGCATCAATCAGGGATACGCTAAGTTTTTGCTTCCCCAAATACATACAGTTATGTTACAGAGCTGTGTGTTTCTCAACCATGGCTGCTTGAAGACGGGTGGACTTCAACTCCCAGAATCCCCCAGCCTGAGGAATTCTGGGAGTTGAAGTCCACCCATCTTCAAACGGCCACAGTTGAACAACACTGCGACGGATCGAAAGAATAAAACCAAATATCGAGAAAATCAACAAAGACAGATCCTGTTCGTGGCCAGAACTTGGCAAAGCCACGGAAACCACTCTTAAGCATGTGCAGAGTGCATTCCCCTCTCTTCACCCCCGAATCACATCTCAAACAGGATGGCGAATCCCAGCAGAGAAAATTCTTAGGCGCATCCTTTTGCAAGTCCATATTCATGCATACGGACACTTTGGGATAGCAGCACCCCAAAAAAATGTAAACAAACTTGCAAAGATCAACAGGAACTGGCGATATCTTTGGGCTGCTCCAGAGCAAAGTCTGCCCCCCCCCAACAATAAATATCCAAAATATCCAGCAGTGTAGAAATGTAGGACCAGCCGACTCACCAAAACAAAGGCATTGTGTGGAAGCTGTGAGACGTATTCCTCCACTCCCACCGGTCAGCCAGAGCGAGACATATTTTGCCTGCACTTCAGCAACATGCACATATATGGAGAGCACCCTCGGATAACCAACATTTAACAGCTGGATAATATTTTTGCACAGCCGAAACTCCTCCATCAAGCAGATTTCCCCCTCCCCTTCCTGAAATACCGAGTGATTTTTGCATTTTTAAAAATTCATCGCCAGTCGGCGGCACATTCGGGAGGTTGGCAGAGGCTGCCGAGACGTTTTAAAAAGAAAAATATTCCGAAATAAGAAATTAGCACCCTAAACAGTTCCTTTCGGACCAAAGGCCTCCGGTTCACACCCAGCTGCGAAGTTGCAGCTGGCCAGTCAGTGGTGCTGATTCTTTTTTTCCAAATTTGGGGCAGGGGGGGAGGAACACAGAGAGACCCCCTTCCCCCCCTCCTAGATTGCAGGCCCCTCCCCTTTGCAAAGCAACCCCCTCCCCAGAGGCCCAAAGACGCCAGACGAGACGAATGCCAAGGAGACAAGTTTTAACAGCCGGGCAAAAATGAAATTAAAGCAGAAATAACAATTGCACCATTGCAATATTCATTATAATAAATTAACTTATAATGTATGGGATGTTGGGTAGGTTGAACATTCTTTTCCGACTTCCGCGTGGCTTTTTAAAGATGTGCCCCCCAAAGACCCCTTTCCCACTCCCCCACCCCAAACCCCCCAAGGATGCTGCATCTGCTTTGGGGAAGGGAGAAAGCGCCTTTATGGCATTGATCCTCATTTCCCTCCTTCCCCACTCCCTGCCCCCCCCTCCACCCCCCCACCGTCAATTGCCTTCT